TAAATAACTTTATTTAGGCATAGTCCATAGCTCACATAATTCACTCATTTCGGTTGTACAATTCATGAGAGAATGTTCACTTAAGCTACACAGTTGCTACAGAAACTGGCCCAAGAACATGAAATCACTGCTCCAAGAGTAGATTTCTATGGTTTAAAAGCAACATGGACTGAATTCAAATCCTGGTTAGGCTATTTCCTAGGTGTGTGCCCGTGGCTATGGAAATTTATCCAGTTTGAGTTCTTACTGTGAGAATTGGTATTAATGAAATTAACTAAATTAAAATTAATTTAAATGGAATAGGATTAACAGAGAACTCTCACCCCCTGGCTGTTGGGGTTGAATGGGTTCTGCAACCAGTTACCTTCCTCTCTGACTACTTTATACCAGGATATGCTGTTTGTTTTCCAGTCGTCAGCCTTGGGTTATTCACTTCAAATATTAACAAGAGTTGGTGTTAACCAGTCATAACATTTGAAGAATCATGATCGGATTAGACCTTGGAATAGTTTTCTAAGAGGAGATTCAAGGGAAGGGGAGGCAGGTAGGGTGGGAGTGATGACCTTGATGACTCCTTGACCTTGGAGTTATCCTCGCACGGAAGCTCCCAGGGTCATGTCCAGTTTGCCCTTCTCGCAAAGCCAGCAGTACTGCAGCACCTTCAAAGGGAGTTTCAATCCGGCCTTAGCTGGGCTACTTTACATTTTTCTTAGAAGGTTTTTGGAGGCTGTTTGCTGGATGGTAGAGCATGTGGGCTTTGGAATCAGGTTGCAGCTCTGTCATTTATTAGCTACGTGGCCTTAGGCTTTTACTCACGGTACTCATGTTAGAATGGAGATACTGATAGCACGTGCCCCATGGGATTGCTGGAATAATGTGATGATGATGATGATGCTCATGTTCTTACGGTGTACTCTCTGCGAGACACTGGTTTCAGCATTTTATATGTATCACCTGTTCTGTTCCTCCCAATGAAACTACGAGGTTGCTATATGCATTAGCTCCACTTTATAAATTAGGAAAGTCCGGAGAGAGGCCGCTTCATCTGTCCAAAGTCACACAGTGAGACACGGAGCTGTGACCTGAATCAAACCGGGCCGTCTGGTTTCATTACTCTTGTATTTAATCACCCTACCAGCCTACTTTCCTGTGCTATACTATCTCTTCTAAAAGAAATAATACATTAAAAATGCCTGGAACTTAGTAAAAGTGCAGTAAATGGTAATGTTGAAACAATAAATATTACTTCAATTTCCCCAGGCCTTCACCAGCCCATGGAGTTCACCAAACAGTAATAACAGCAAGTGCACTCGATTACACCTCTGCCTACATGACATGTGTCTCTAAGTTTCTCCAAGTTACTTCTGGGGTGACTCGCGTGGCTCTCCTGTTCTCCTACCTGTGCCCTCCCTTAAGGCCCTGCCATTGAAGTCCCTTCAAGGTGGGGCCTCAGCCACCTCTGTTGTGAGTGTCCTCTGTGTCCCTTTCTAGGGCTCACTTCCCTGGTCCCTAAGCAGGAATGGTGCACCTGGGCCATAGTAGTCAACGTGTCATCTTGGAGACTAGTAACTCTGCTGGGCTGTCCATCACCCATGTCCCGTTACATTCAGCAGACATCTTTCTTTTTTTTTTTTTTAAATCCTCACCAGAGGACATGCTTATTGATGTTAGAGGAGAAGGCAGGGAGAGAGAGAGGGAGAGAAACACCAACGTGAGAGAGAAACATCGATCAGTTGCCTCTTGCAAGCACTCTGACTAGGGACTGAACCCGCAACACTTCAGTTTACGGGACAACAGTCCAATCAACTGAGCCACATGGGCCAGGGACTACAGACAACTCTTAACCCGCTATTATGTTTTGTGCCAGAGGATATACAAAAAAAGAAGGTAAGCAATCAGTATGTCCAGACTGGTGCCCCAGAGCGGCTTAGCAACCCCTGACGTCTACCAACCCTATGGTCCCGTCCCAGATCACCCTTTCTTACCATAAAGGTCGTGAGAGTTATAACACAGGAAGTTTGCTGTTGGTGGTGGTGGTGGCGGTAGTGGTGGTGTGTAGCTTAGGAAAATGTGCACGCAATTCTTGACAGTTATCTATTTACTTTATTTAAATCATATTTACATTTTAATTCTTGCCAAGGAAATGTTCTTTTACTTTCCATTGAGTCAGGGAAAGCATTTGAACCTCCCTGGTGCATTGCAACACTGTAATCTGCCTTCCTAACCGTTACCAGTAGCTCTGTTTATGGCCTCTCAGGGGTTTTCATGTCAACTCACTCTGATGCAAGTCATTCTTCAGAAGTCACTGTAAATTTAGAAAACCACCCCTGCTCCTCCTCCAACCAAGGAGACATAAGGCCCAAGAACAATGATGGGTTCTGACTACGCGGAGAGAATTAAACATGAGATTTCCAGGAAAATAAAAATCATCCAGATAAATGTAATGAAAACTGGAACTGAGGAAATTGTAGTTATTTTTCTACAGCCTCAGTGTTACTCAGAGTGAAGGCAAAAACAAGATACTTGCAATGAGGAAGAGGAAGGGAGAAGCATTCAGAAGTCTGAGGCCAGCCTCCATGAGGGGGAAGAGGTTACTTAGTAACTTCCTGCTGTCTGTGATAAGACTTCCTGGGGCGCATAAAACTGGTTTAACCAGACTTTGTCCCATAGGCCCTTTAGCTTAAAAAATTATTTATTGCCCTGACCAGAGAGACTCAGCTGATTGGGCAGGCCACTGGTTCAATTCCTGGTCAGGGCACATGCCCGGGTTGCAGTTTGATCCCACGTTGGGTCATGTATAAGAAGCAACAGATCGCTGTTTCTCTTGCATTGATGTTTCTCTCCTGCTTTCTCCCTCCCTTCCCCTCTCTCTAAAAGCAAATAAAATACTTAAAAAATATTTATTTATGATTGTGCTTCAACATTGCTTCCAATTCTTAAGGGAAGCTGATTTTTTTTTTTTAAATCAGAAAATAGAAAGGTAGACACATTTCAGACAAAAAAGGTATATTCTGAAGTAGTAGCAAAACCTGTCATTGTACACTAAATATTCACTAAGTCATAGATGAGGGACTAAGCTCAGCTTTAAGGAAAATTTATTGTTTTGGTTAGTTTGTTTTTGAGTTAAAGTATTCTCCTAAGGATATTTCCAGCCCAAGTTTCCAACAAAGGATGAGAAACTGAGAGTCCATCTCCTTTCCACTTAATTTTTAAAAATAAGTAATATACAGGGTCCAGCGGAAGTAATGTGTGCTTAAGTGTGGTTAGTAGGATAATAATATGGGTGTAATAGTTTTAATCTGAACATTTTACCTAAAATGTCATATGGTGTGCTTGAGAGTGATATTGTTTGATACAGAATTACATGCTTATGATTTCGTAATAAAGTATTTTGTAATAAGCAAGGGGTGTTATTTGTGCCAGACCCTGTATTGTGTTCACTAAACTGCATGCAATTTTCTTAAACGAGAGTTAATAAAAGAGCTCTCCGAACATGTAAGAGAGAAAATGTTGGCCCTCGCATATTAATGTTGATCATTTGTTCATTGTTCAATGTTTATCCCTAACGGTAGGGCAAGACAACTAAGATATTGAGAACCTAACCAGCTGCATGCCAGGGGGATCGTTTGCCAGTTAAAGAATTGTTTGCACAAAGTCAACACTGTGTTTAACACCGTGAGCCATTTCCCCCTCATTATGTCCAGTAGGACCTCTTCTGTGCCCCAAACGCATCTTGCTGCCCAGTCTCCAATAAAGAAGCCCAGGCAGAGGTGTCCTCAAGGATCATTTTGTGCACGTTCTGCACCCCTCTCAATGGTGCAACACTTAACCACTCACTCTCCCATCCTATGCTCATTAACTCCCCAGACGGTCAGCTACCCTGCTCACCCAGGGCCCATGCCACTGACACAGGGCAGACGGAGCTTCGAGGGCGAGCCTGCTTTCCACGTGCATTTGCAGGCTTTGGCCCTCGTTCCAGCTGAGGCAGTCTGGCCTTTTCAGTGCCGCTTATTTTATACACAGAGTCTGTGTCAGGCCCTGTGCTTAGTAGAAGGTTGGAGAAGGGGTCACAAAGATCAGTCAGGACATGGTCACTGCCCTCAAGTTATAGCCAAGAAGAGACCACCAGTACATAAATCCCAGAAGTGCAGCAAGGGCCACAAAGAGCTAAGTGAATAAAGAGCTAAGAAAGACACACGCAGAAGCAACTAATCCTTCTTGGGAGGTTCATACAAAAGAGAGATGATATTAAGTTGGGCTTTACAGAATATGCAGGAGCTTGCAGAATAGACAGGGAATGGGAACCCAAACCCAGTCATAGGAAGTATATGAAGTATGCAAGTATATAGACAGTGCTGAACGCCAAAGCAGAAAGGATGAGATGGGTTACGAAGGGCAGTGAGGACTGCGGAGGTTCTCCTACGGGCAATAGGGGTCTTCTAGGAGAGTGTGTTCCCAGGTCAGATATGTGTCAGGAACACAATTCCAATGGAACTGTGGAGGCCTTTATGGATTTAGTAGCCTTTACTGACAATTTGGGCACCTCCTGGGGAGAGGCTGCATCACACAGTGCACACTCCATCCGCATGTTATGGCTACGTGGTCTCTCTTCTGCTCCTGTATGGGCTCCTCAGCTCTGGAAAGTTCCAGATTCTTAATTCTATTATGCAGAGCCAACACTCAAGCCTGCAGAGGACTCACCTCTATGCGAAATAATTATTAAAGTATTTTTTTCCTAAATAAAGGCAATTATTTTGTTAAGAAATTTTGGAACCACCTGTTAAATATAATATTTTTTATATAAGCTACAATATAAATTTCTTTCTCTCGTCACATGCATATGAATCATCTACAATATCAGCAATACTCTAAAAATTTTACACACAATGGAAATTTCCTGTGCAACATAATTTTACTTGATAAACAAAAGGCAATGTTCCCAAATTCATTCCAGCATTTCAACCTCCAAGATAAAAAAACTATAGAACACTGTGGTAAAGTTTTTTTAAAAAAAGGTTTATTTGTTACAAAATGTTAAATACTAAAGCTAAAAACATATAAATTCAGATCAGGCTATATTAAAATACACACATACCCTTCTTTGCAAAATTATTAAAGATTGAATTAAACAGATGCTTTAAATAAAATAAAATATTCTTGAGGATATTTTCATATAACTAACTGTATCAATGTAGTGTAGTCTTTAAAATTATAGTTGAAAAGTTTCTCAGTCTTAAAAGTCAGATTTATCCAATTCTTCAGTTTTTTGCTACTGCCCAATATGAAGCCACCATGCTGGCTTGGGCTGGATGAATTTCAGTTACGGTACTGAAATTTTTATATGACAAGCCTATTCTCCTATAATACGAACACAGAATAGTCAGAAGGATGCAAGGGTTCTATGAGGTGGAAACCTGGCCCAGAAAGAAAAGGCTTTAGTTCTACCATACAGCATCTTCTCTAAGTAAAATGATTAGTAAATATATTGAAGCTGAGCTCAGCACAGAGAATACATTCATCTAGAAATAGTCTTTCAGTTAAAAATGAAATCAAAAGAGCACTCATTTCTCCATGACAGCTTGCGTATTTTTTGATGTCTCGTTATTTTAAATTCAGTTAATTCAGAAGTTTTAATCTAGATTTAAAAACTCATCTGATTACGGCTCTGACCAGCTCAGGAGAGCCGTCACATCTGTGTGTCTGAGTCACTCACACACATGGTAAAGACCTTTCACAGTGAAAACTACATGCTGTACACCCACAGAACCCCCCTTGCAAACTCAACTCCAGTCGAACAACCTAAAAACTATCTGTGGTCTATTTAAATGTTAAATAGTATTTGCAAAAATATATTTTGCTTTTGAAATTTTATTTTTCAATTTCCTAGATTTAAGTTACTGATTTAGAATTTTAGGTGCTATAATTAACATAGGGGTAAGAACCCCTATGAAGAACCAAAATGCTACCACTGACTTTAAAAGGTCTTAAATGTGAATGAATTTCTAGAAATCCACCACAGTATCTATTCTTTACAATGCTAGTCCATATCAAGTGGGATTTTCCAATAGCTGATTAACTTAAGTGATTAAAATACAAAAAACATAAAATGCATTATAGCAATCTTCATCAACACAATTTAATTAAAATCAAGTTTCTTGGAAGAAATATGTAGGGACTTTTCATTGTTTCACTCTGACAGTGTTGGTATACATCCAAGGGCTAACTGTTTGTGATTCCAATACTACACTGTAAAACTGTTTAATCAAACCTTGAAGCAGTTGGAAAACTACATGCATTCTAAAATAATTGGAAGTTAAAAGAAAAATATATCCAACACTAAATTACATTACAGATGAAAATGATGCTAACAATAGCACAGTAATCAGGTTTTCCATCTCTCAGCTTGTGAGCTTCTAGGTAATTATTTCTGTTGACACGTAATACAAGAGAATCTATAATTCTGTCCTCTATCCTAGTATCATTTTCTCTACTTTTAACAAGTCTTTCATTTACAGCCTTTCTTTTAACTTACTGGGTAATCTTGAAGGACAAAATTCATGCTACTCCTCATCAAATAACCTTGGGTCCTCAGAAGCATTTCTAGCTACTGACATCCTAATCTTAGAAATACACTAAAATAAAAAACATTTGAGCCTTCAATACTGAGTTCTCTAAAAAAGCATCTTTTCCCATGAACATCTTTATAAATATGTATTAAAGTCACACTGGTCAGTTGCTTTTACCAGTATACTGGTCTTACAGAATGATCAAGAAATGCTCATCTGTGATAGAGCCAGAGCCGTGAGTGTTTTAAAAATAAGACAATAAAAGGCATTTCTTACTTTCTAGTTGAAGTGGCAGCAGAGGCTCTGGGTGGAATAGATTTCCCCAGAGCTCCCAGGATCTCACATGCTCTCTTCCCATCAGAAAGCCTTCTGCTCTTCCCTGTCAGTCAGCGCCTCTTCTCTGCCTTCAGAGACAATGATGCTTGAGCAAGAAAACATAGTACCTACCCTGCTACAAGACAGACATGATTTTGGGGGTCCCATACGAAGTCAAGATTCAGGGCCCTTCTTCAAACATTATTATGAATTTCAAGATGGTGACAGCAGAGTGTTGAAAGGGGCCCTTTCAAGCCTATAGCCCCGTACAATTACACAGGTGGCCTGGCCACAGAGTCATCCCTGTTCAGATTTCCTGCCTAATCAGAATCCCTGGGAAGAGACAAGGTGGCTCAGTTGGGTTGTTCAGACAAAAACCAGAATTTTTTTCCTGATCGTCTAAACACTGTTACTGATTTGGAACTAAGTGTCATTTTACATTCCAAATCTCAGGCAAATTTTGATTCCTAAAGTCTCAGATTGATCAATCTTCCCCTAGATTTTTCATTACAGAAATAGTCAGTTTGGGTCTTTATGCCACTTATTTTAACAGAGCAATTAATCAGACATGATAAAACTTTTGTATTAATCCTACATGATATTTTTTTAAAAGTTACACATTTCTTAACTGGGATGAGTATTAATATCACTAAAGCAATAGGTTGTCTTAAAGGGAATAAGTAGCTGTACAACAGCTTTATACACTAGGATAAAGCCTTAGATTTAGCCTATGGTGTATTTTGTTCCCTTTTAAGATCACAATAGTTTTTTTTCAAAGAGAACTAATAACACATTAAGCTGTATGGTAATTTTTTTGGGACGCCCATATATGTATATATTTTTAACGCCCATGTTTCAGTCACAAGAATGTTACTGGAACCCAGAGGTATCCCATTCTTCATAATAATATTTTTGAAAAGTGTATGTATATAAAAGCGCCAGGTTACATTATTAAGCAACGACATTTCCGGGAGTGAATATACTTCCTGTATTCTGCAAGTTGCTTCAAGTACAAATTCGATGGCCATCTGTGCTTTTCAACAAAGCTGCGTTCTTCCACTAAAATTTTTAGGAAAAAAAAGTTAATTGAATATATTTTATTTGGGATCAAGTTTAGGCATTAATTATTAGTTTCCTATTTAATGGACGGTATCCAAGCTCTGTTACATACTCTCCACACTTTCCTGAAGCCTTCCAAAATCATTGAATACAATTTTGGTTAAATCAGTCACCAGGATACACACATCTTGTCCATTGCTTCATTTTTTGTTTGTTTGTTTTTTTCCTTTGTAGTTAATTCAACCTTCCAAACTCTTTAAAAAAATTTTTTTTCCTCACCCAAGGACATTTTTTTTTCTTTGCTTTTAGAGAGAGAGGAAGGTACAGGGAGAAAGACAGAAACATTGATGCATGAGAGACATCGATTGGTTGCTTTCTTACACACGTACTGACCAGGATCAGACCCACAATCTGTGAATGTGCCCTAACAGGAAATCAAACCTGAAACCTTTCTGTCTACGGGATGATGCTCCAACCAACTAAGCCACACCAGCTAGGGCAACCTTCCAAACTCTTTAAAGTCCTCTCCATTTTATCTGCCACCAAGCCAGAGTTATCAAAATAGTCTATGTATCGCTGCAGTGGTGCCGCTGCCGCTGCCGCCCTGGGGACCTTTTCTTCAGAGCCTGGACCTTGCCGCTCTGCAGGCCTGCCTCATGCTTTTGTGCTGGACCCTCCACTCTGGGCTCCAGGCCTTCACTTTGCTTATTCTCTAGTTTCCGTGAAGCAGAACCTTTATTAACTTCCTGAAAAAGGTGGGTACATCAGAAGTATTTTTGCTTATGATGAAATGACTTTCATCTATCCTCACACACAATTCATAATTTGGTTTGATATAAAATTCTAGGTTAAAAACTTTCCTCAGAATGTAGGAGACAGTAGTCCACTGCTTTCTAGTTTCCAGTGTTGCTAACAACTCCACTACCATTCAGAGTCATAGTTCTTGGTAAGTATATGTTTTGTTTTTTTATCCTGTAATGTTTTCATTTTTTTCTATTTATAGTTGGCATTTTTACAGGTCTCAGTGGTGAACCTTGCTCTTTAAGATGAGCACTTAGCAGATCCTTTCACTCTGTTGACTCGAGGCCTTCACTACTGGGATAACCTCTTGTATTTTTTTCTTGATAATTTTCTCTCCACTGTTTTTTTCTGGATTAACTTATATTATTCAGGATCTTCACCTATTGGATTGAGCCTCCAACTTTTTTTTTTTTTTTTAACTTTCTTTCCTGTCTATCTTTTTGTCCTGCTTTTTGGGAGATTTCATTATCTTTATCTTTCAACTATTTTATTTCATTGAGTGTTTTGCTATCATATTTCTAATTTCCAAGAATGGCTTCTTGTTCTTTTATTGTCTTTTGTAAATTGTAAAATATGCAGGAAATAAAATAAACCATCTTAGCTACTTTAAGTGCACCGTGTATGATAAGTACCATTCAGCACACTCCTGTTGTTGTGTAACCAAGCTCCAGAATTCTTTTCATATCACAAAACTAAAACTCTACCTATTAAACAATTCCCAATTCTGTCCACCCCCAGGCCCTGGAAACCACCATTCTACTGTCTTTACACTTATTATTTCTTTTTAGTAATATCCTATCCCTGCTTTTTATGGATGTATAGCTCTTATTCTCTGAGGATAACTTTAAATAATTTTTTCCCGAGGTTTTCTTCTACTCCTTGTGTCTCTTTATTCCTTTAAGTTTCTTCTTGTGAGATAACAGACACTATGCATGTGTATTGGTCTCTGCACCTGGCTTCTGGCCTAGAACTCCTGAAGTCCTTGTAATTTCCTAGTAATGAGAGCACTAGCAGCATCTTCCCTTCTAATAGGTGGTCTTTAACCCCTGCTTCCAGGCTCCTGAAGCCCCTGTAATTTCCTGGATGACAGTAGTGTCATTTACTCTAATGAGGCAACTATGGGTAGGTTCCTGGATGAGGCTGATTGTCTAAAAGCCATGACTAAAAGCTTGGACTTTTCAGACACCACCTCCTCCCCCGCCCCTGCCGCCAACATTCTCTTAAGAACTGAAAATGGAGTTAATGATCAGTCATGCCTACATAGTGAAGCCTCCATAAAATTCCAAAGTACAAAGTTCAGAGAGCTTCCAGGTTGATAAATATATCCACGATGTGCAGGGAGGATAATGCACCCCCAACTCCACTGGGACAGAAGCATCTGCACTCGGGACCCTCCCATACCTCGCTCCATAGGTCTCTTCATCTGGCTGCTCACCCGCATCCTTTAATAACCTGGCAAACTTTAGTAAGTGTGTGAGCCAACCTAGCCAATTAATTGAACCCAAGGAGGGGATCATTGGAACCTCTGATCTATAACCAGTGGGTCGGAAATACTGGACTTGCACCTGGTGTCTCAAGCGGGGTCAGGGGTGGTCTTATGGGATGGAGCCTCTGACCTGTGGGATCTGACACTCACAATTTCCAGGTGGAGTGTCAGAATTAAGTGGTAGGGCACGCAGCTGGAGGTGTGGAGAATTGCTTGGTGTGGGGTAAAACCCCCCACATGGGGAGAACAGAAGTGTCAGAAATGAAGCATTCTGTGTGAATGGCAACGAAGACACACAGAAGAAAGACTCAGAGGAAAGACACAGTAGAGGGTATCTATCTTTCAGGTTGGACGTTGCGTCATATATCTGCTGATCCTCAGTTATCTCTTTATATTGAAGAGTGAGATACTGGAAAGCTGTATGGAAATGTCTGGGGCATGGGCTGGACTTGCTGACTGGTGGAATGAATACACTAAAGCACAACTGGGCAGATTAATGTTGGGTTCATGGAAAGAATTCCCAAATGATTGCACCTGTACTTTTTTTTTTTTTCCCTCTGATGCTTCAGTTTCATGCCCGGACTATGGAGGTAGGAAATACATGGCTGCCGGAATCTAGGATCTGGATAGGGGAAGGAGGCTGGATATTTACTATAAAATGTGCACACTTTGGCCTAACCCCCTGTTTTCAGTCCAGCCCCTTGCCCAATCTCAACTGTATTCAAAATTCATGATTTCATAACTTTTTTAGTTTCATTTCTTCAGGAATGAACCTCCCACCGCTAGTGAGGATGGAGAAGCGCCCTGCCTGGGTGGTATGGCGTGTGGCAAAAGTGCCTGAATCGACATTTAAGTCATTCTACTGCTTTCGGCCACAAGCCTCATTCTGCTCCCTAAAATACCCTTCTAAAATACACTCGAACGTTTAAGGTTTTTGGTATTTCACTGGGTGAATCAGCTTTTTTCTCGCCAGTATTCCCTTCTGTGGGCACTCAGGTTTCCTTGTGCTAAGTCAGTTTCCACTTCTCCACTTACTCTTAATTTGGATTAACAAGGTCTTGAGCCAGGCTGTGGGACCCAAATAGAGGGAAATGAACTAGCTGCTCAGGGAAAGCAATTTGTTTCATTAGGAAGCAAAGGTGATACAAAACTACACCCTAAGATAAAATAAAAGAAAAAAATTATCACCGATGAGCTCTGGCCAACACCACTACCACCACCAAAAAAACAAGACAAAAAAAAATTACCCTCCATAATATAAAATGCATAATACAATGTCCAGCTAAATTAAACTAGAATAATGACTCCATAAACTGCAAAGGTAACGTATATTCCTGTGTGGTGCTGTTTGTTTTCATGAGTCCAGTATAGAAAATGTCTACTATTTAAAGAGTTATTTAACTGAGTTCTGATGCATCAGTGCCAGAATTGACAAAAGATCATTTCTAGTCTCACCTTTGAATTTCTCAACACCTCTAAATAAGAAAAAATTCTCAATTAAGAGACAATTCCAATAATAATTTGATAATTTTTGAAACTGAAAACGGGTAGTTTTTAAGGAAAGCTATAGAGTGATTGTGACAAGAACCCTTCGGAACTTCATGCGACCATGAGAAGTAGGCCAAGTGTAGGGCAATAGCGAGGAGAGGTGACTGTCACAGCCTGAAGGACATGCTCCATTACACGGGCAGCTGCTGCTTGGTCCCAGGGAGTTGTCATGTGGGAAGATGGGTCCAGAGTAGCCTGAGCTTCCAACTTTACAAAAGAAGCCAAAATATTGGATTTTTTAAATGTAACATGTTCCAATTTTTAAATGCTGACACTAAGTTTGAAAAACAAAAACAATGCGGTCTACAGAAAACCCCCTGGCAGGCTACATTTGACCCGCAGACTACCAGTTTGTGACCACCTATTTAGACTATTAAATTTTCCTGTACCCACAGGGTCTTTTCTTTCTCCGCGCATGAGGACGATCACAGCAGGTCCTGGACAGAGCAGGTACCACTGGCTCAGAGCACTCGTGATAACTTCTAACTCCCATCAAAGGAATACAAGGCAACCACTGACGCAACCTCATCCTCTTACCCTGCTTTTGCAAATTCGCTTTGGGGACCTGCTTCTCGCTATGCCTAGTGGTCATACATGGTTTATAAATAATTGTGTAAACAATAAAATAAAGTAAAAATTAATAACTCAAAGGATTTACAGAGCATCTCTCTACCAAGGCTGTAATAGCACTCTCCATGTATATCATACATTTTTATAGTGAGTGGAAAATAATCATATTCTTTGTTTACAAATGGAGGTAATGTAAGATGGCATAATAATGGAGGTTCTAAAATCAAAAATTTCATTCATGTCATTTTAATTGATTTTGGAAAAAAAAAAATAACTGAACGAGAATGTCCCTACTAACTAAAAGCAGGTAGAAACATGACTTATCTTTATGAGTGGACTTTTTGTTCACTTCTTGCACAAAGTCAGTGGTCAGTAAATATCTATTGTTCTGCTTTGATTTCTTATGTTCCTCTATGGCACTAAGAGTTGAATTCTATGTGAAGAGGCACTCAGTGTTTGCTGCCCAGCTGAATGTCTGCCAAGACGCCTGCCAAAAGCTGTGTATTTCTTGTTTCCTTAACTGTACAACAAGTAGCTGAATGAAACCAGGGACTTTCACTTTTTTTTTAAGGAGCGTATTTCTTTTCCAAGTAAAATATATGTTGAAAGCTAGGACATCAATAGGATAAAAATGGAACTACTCTAGTTGAAGGTGGGAGGGATGACTCCAAGAAGCACAAGGGTAGCCTTCTCTTCCTTTCATTTCTCTTCGCTCCCTCCCCTTCCTTCACCCCTCCCCACACTGTGCCCCTACTCAGAAGACCTTCAGGCATCTCCAAGGAGAGTTTTCTGTTTAGAGTTTGACACTACTTCACTAGATGATCTTTTAATTTCCTCTTAATTTTATTATTCCTTGAGTCTATTCAAGGTAATAACATGAGCGGATCTTTGTATCGAAAATGATTACCCTGATGACTAGTCTATTTTCATTTTCTTTCCTCTTATGCAACAGCTGAGAAGCTCAACCTTTGATTGGTTTTAATCTTTATAATTTATCTTTAAAATCACACTATGCATACTCTGCTCCGTTTTTTTTTTTTTTTTAATTTATTGATTTTAGAGAAAGGAAAGAGGGGGAAGAGAGAGAGAGAAACATCAATTTGTTGTTCCACTTATTTATGCATTCATTGATTGATTCTTATATGTGCCCTGACCAGAGATTGAACCTGCAACTTTGGGGTATCTGGACGACGCTCTAACCAACTGAACCACCCAGTGAGAACGAGTAAATTTTGCAGCTCTCTTTGATCAATAAAAAATTGTTATTCCTAGTAATACAGTGAATTCCTATATAGATATACTTAATAAATATAGGTAACAGTACAACAGAACTATTATTATAAATAATACACAACAATTACAATGTCTTTACAATAAAAATGTTTTTCAATCTGCACTGCTTAAATTTTGTTTCTGACTTGGGTAGTTAAAACGAAGATATTTTTTATCAATTCCAAATGCCACCTGAGGACACCTTATCTCTACACTTCAGGGGAAAAATTTATTTAATAATTATGGGAGCTATAAAACAATCATTAGAAAACCTCTTGTGTAATACAGATAAAGCTACTTACATAGCACAGGTGACTAAAGTGTCCTCAAATACCACTCTGCATATTTAAGAGGACTATATGCATTGACTTTTTAATTTTTAAAAACTACTATTCCTACAAATTACATCTCAAATCTAAGAACAAAGAACATACAGTTTTTTTTCAACACAGTAATTGGCAATCTACCTGAAAGATCCTGAAATTCAGGCTTTTGACTGAAGATGAGGTAGTTAGTGGCAATGAAATGAAGTAGCCAAGTTGAAAGGCAATCAGAGTGGTGAAACTGCAAGAAAAATGGAAAGTGAAACAGCATCGTACACAATGACCATCACCACGATGAGTAGATTAGAGAGAATGGTCTGGGAGAACTCATGGAGAGCCCAGATCCGTGTTTAATGTGTCTATATTTGATGCAGCCTTCAGCCTACTCTGACAACAGAAAGGAAAATGGAGCATTAATAACACATAATAATAAAATTACAACAATGAATAAACAGAACCAAATGAATGACAAGCTCCTGTTGCTGCAGTGGCTGAATATCATTAAACAAATGTATGATTGCACCTATGGATCACAAAGACTATTTGAAGTTCTGGAGGATGCAGTTTAAGCTTTCCATCTAAGGTCATGGCCCTCACTAACTGCACCTGGATCTCTGTAGCAGAGAAGTAAGATTATGGTTAGCAAAGCCATACACTTGGCCATATCTAAATAAATCCACTGAAGGAGCAAGCCAAAAATTATTTTCAAGAGGAAATGTCATCCACCTAAGGTTATGGGTAGCAACGTGTAAATATCTCTATGAGAATGTTATGTTTGAATAGTTGCTTTTAACGCAGAAGTACTGTTATACTGAGCAGGATTCCCAGCATATTTCTCAATCTGAGCTTCAATAGCTAATGGAGGAGGAACTTAAAGCAACTTGGCCGTGACAGCATCACCTTGGTGCCAATCCGGTGATACTCACTGATCCATCTAACCACCCAGTTCAGATTACAATAACTTGCTGGCAGGCAACTCTGGTACATGAGTGTAATTCTTTTTATTATTACTGTGGTTAGCATACACATAAAATGTTTAAGTATATGTTTCACTGCATTATGTACATTTATATTATTGTGCAACCATAACCTTTACCTATTTTCAGAACTTTTTTTACCATCCCAAACTGAAACTCTTTACCCATTAAATAAAAAATCACCTTTCCCTTAGTCCCAGTCCCTGGTAACAACCATTTTACTTTACCTTTATGAGTCTCACTATTCTGGAAACCTCATATAAGTTGAATTATACAGTATTTGTTTTATGTCTGGTTTATTTTACTTAGCATCATGTTCTCATGATTCCTCCATGTTGCAACACGTATTAAAAATTTTTTTTTAGGGTAATATTCCACTGTATGTGTAAAACACATTTTGTTTACCCATTTATCTGTTGATGAACATTTAGATTGTTTTCACTTTTAGGCCAAATATAGCTCTTTTAAGGAAGCTCAAAATTATTATATAAAAATAAGTAATGCTAAATTGAGAAAGATTTGTAACCTCAAGTCTTTTTTTTAAAGATTTTATTTATTTTCAGAGAGAGGGGAAGGGAGGGAGAAAGATAGGGACAGAAACATTGGTGAGCAAAAGAAATATTGATTGGTTGCCTCTCGCACCACCCAGCTGGGGACCTGGCCTGCAACCCAGGCATGTGTCTTGACTGGGAATTGAACTGGTGACCCTTCAGTTCACAGGCTGGCGCTCAATCCACTGAACCACACCAGCCAGGGCTGTAATCTCAAATCTTAATAAAGAAACTCAAATATTCCTCTTTTAGAAAGTTACAATCTTGGAATACTTTAACATGTAAATTCATAGGTCCCTCTGATTTTTATTACATGAAATCAGAATTTTTGAGTTGTGTGAGACTTTATAGTTCACCTCATTCCACATCACATTTTAACAATCTTTTTTCACTTTATCTTTTAGCAGATGACTGTTAATGATCTCAAGGGACTACAGCAAGAACATGTAGCTATTTTAACAGAAGCCACCAATACTATTTGATGATTATCCCAGAGCAAATAATCTACCAACTTCTGTAGAACATGAGGCGATGTTGAATGCATTGTCTAATGGCTGTGACTTTGAAAGACAAGGGAGATCATAGAAGTGAATAGCTGCCTACAAAAACATAGTTAAAATGCAGAACTTTATTTCTGACCAAAATTTAAGATATCATAATTGTGGGCTCTTGGTAAGTGATGGAATGCATCTCACTATATACTACTTTTGGGAAACAATGCATGCTGACCTGAGAAAATAGGTTGAGACTGAAAAAAACAACAGGATAAAAAAGAACAGGTATTAAAAAACTATAAATCAAATGCTATAGCATTTAACAGCTCTGTAAAGAATAATAATGGTGCAGAAAGTACCAAGAACTCACTAGGAAAAGATCAGAAACAAAACTGATAGCCTGAAGCAGCCAAATATTAGTGCACAGATTATAAAGAAGTTGAGTTTAAAACTTTAATATGAAAGTAAACAGGACTTCATAGGAGTCAGAAAATTTGGCTAGATAGTATTTAAAGGGGAGTAGAGATAAGGAAATCTCTACCTTAATCTGAAGGATCTGATTAAGGGAAACAAGCCTCCGTTTTATGTTAAGAGTTAAACTTGATGGAAATATATGGACCTAAAGGTAGAATCAAGGAAAAGAATTGAGAGAATTTAGGGGGAAGTGGAAGCAGAAGTGAGAGAATACCAAAACTGCTCATCTGTATCAAAGGTATGAATGATGTTTTCCTGATACAAAATACAAAACCGACAGAGATGATAGAAGGATTGGAAATTTCAGCTACTCAGAGAGCTCCTAGGAGTCTAAACCTGCTAAAAGGCAACTTTACCTTCTAGTAAGTCAGAGAAACAAGGAGGAAAAGGTTAATTAAATTTTGACCAGAAGATGAACTGGCTAGTGAAGTGGAACCTCAAACTAGAAACTTCGAAGAGAACTTGGGGGCAGATTATTCTGATATCTAGGAGCCATAATTCCAGATTAGGGATCACCAACAATAGAAGAAAGGAAAACCGGTAAATGTAGGCTTAGTGTTAGCAAACAGAAAAGTCATCAGAAACAAACAGTAAAATTTAAAAAGAGTTATCTTAGAATTTTTAAATTAAAGAGAAAAAGTAAGGATAATCACATAATCAGAAACCACACAGTCAGGGAAAAGAGGTCAGGAAAAATTTCTGGCAATGCAGTCCTAAATGATGCCAATGAGGAACCGCGTGTGCATGTGTGCGTGTGTGTGTGTGCATGTGTGTGTGTGTTGGTTGGGGAGGGAGCACTTAAAAGACATCAATGCAACTACACAGGAAATTTTCTTATGCATGAACTATCTAAAAGGGTATTATAAGATAAGGAAAGAGAAGTATGCATCCCTTTTTAAAAAGTATGACAATAATACATCAAAAATGAACTGAGGTTGTGAAAATGCTAGACAGAATAAAAATGCATTTTTAAATTAAATCTAGAGGGTAGCTCTTCATCCCAAGGGCAATGTAAATACATCGCAATTAGTTGAATGTATAAACTCTGTTTCCCAGAATGTACAGCAATACTATTATTAAAAACAAAAGGCCCTGAGCTTAGAAGAGGCCAGAAAGCAAGGTGTACTGCAGTGATTCTCAACTCAAACATTTTTACTAAATATATTCCGGATACACATTAACAAAACGTGGTTTGAAAGGATTAATGAGGTATACCAATACCTCCTACAAACAAATGAAACTTCAAAACATATTCATGAAGTGAATGAATGAATGAACAAATAAATGAGTTCAGCCTAATCATTTCTATAAGTATATATGGGCCAATCCTCTCATTTTCATTTCAGGAATTTTAAGGTGTGATTATTTGGGGGAAATTCAATGTAAATTCTATTTCTTATAATACTGACATGACACCAGATAGCTCCACCTCCAAATGACTCTAATAATAGTGACCATTTAGTTGAAAAATTCCATATCAGCAAATTCTAACTCCTTAGAAAGGGATTACTCCAAAACCCTATCTTCAAACTTACCTAGCCATGGAAATTATTGTGAGTGCTCTTTAGCCTCATTTAGCCAAACTACCAAACTAAGACAGCTACTAATATATCTCTTAATATGCAGAGATTTTAAAAAAGCATAAATTTTATAAGATTTTTAAAAATCAAATAAGCAGATACATAGGGCCAATTACCTTGGCTTTTTTGAGCAGGTCGACTATGTCAAGGTTCATGGACGCCAGCTCTCTGCTTGGCATGCTCTGCAGCTGTGTAATGATGAACAGCTCACAGATGTGCTGCAGTCTGGACACCTGATACATCTCAGCACAGATCAGGAGACACATGGCCTGGAAAATGCCAGCTGATGCAAAAAAGGGAAATAAGAGAAAATGGACAATAAAATAATTTCTTTTAAGACCTAAAAGAAAACAACACACAAAAAATGATGATTGTGTCATGCAATATAGAGAAGAATGCCTAGGAAAAAACCTTGAAGGAGTGAGCATTCTAAACTCTATTTGAAAAAGAAGTTAAGCCTTCACACTCAGAAGTGAATCTATGTGTTGTTTTTGTTTTTTAATTCTCCAGAGGGGTAGATTCTACAATGGCCCTTAATAATCAGTCCCAGAGCTTTGGGTAATTCCTTCTGCTAGCTCAACTAAATCCTTGTAATTTTTCTACTTCTGACTTTAGTTCCAGATTTGTTTGTTAAATTGTAATCGTGGTAAAATAAATATAAAATTTACCACTAACCATTTTTTCCAGTTTTATTGAAAAATAATTGACATATATCACTGTATAAGTTTAAGGTGTACAGCATGATAGTTTGATTGGCATATATTGTGAAATGATGACCACAACAGATTTAGTTAACATCTATTATTTCATATGGGTACGATAAAAAAAAATTTATCTTTGTGATGAGAAACCTTAGGATCTACAATCTTAACAATTGTCCTATGCAGTCCTGTTGTACATTGTATCTCTAGTATTTATTTATTGACCACCTTCTTCCAATTTCCCCTCCCCCACCCTACCATTAACCATTTTTAAGTGCACAGTTCATTGGCATTACGTATGTTCATACTGTTGTGCAACCGTTACCACGATCCATCTCCAGAGCTCTTACGTCATTTCAAACTAAAACTGTGTCTATAAACAATAACTTCTCAGATCTCCCTCCTGCCAACCCTGGTGGTCACCTTGGTGGTTGTTTTTTATAACAATTCCCTGTAAGTCTGTTTTTCTTTTACTGTATTTTTTTCCATTGCAATTGATTCCCCTTAGACCACCCTCCCCCCTACCATCACCACACTGTTGTCTATATCCGTGAGTTCTTTTACCTTTTTGCTTGATCCCTCTATTCCCTAACCACCCCCTACCCCCCGCCCCCCACACCGCCCCACAGCTGTCAGCCTGCTCTCTATCCATGAGTCTGTCTCTATTTCGCTTGTTAGTTCAGTTTGTTCATTAGATTTCACATATGAGTGAAATCATGTGTTATTTGTCTTTCTCTGGCCAGCTTATTTCACTCAGCACAATGTTCTCCAGGTCCATCCATGCTGTCTAAATATCATCTGTCTGTGGAATAAGTCTGATTTTTGACGTAATTCTCTTATCCCTCCTTAAATTCCTTACATTCTTTTGTAGTTAGGAACCAAGAATGCTGTGCATGGTATTTAATATAATGAATAGATAACCTTTCTTTCTGTGATTTTCCCCATGCAAATATTGCAGTATCCAGCTTAACTTTTTGATTATTCATTTTCACTCATTTTCTCCACACACTTTTTACACTTTTTTAAAGTGCTTCATCCTATACTTATTAGTGCTTTTATGAGCATTTTTTTCTAATTAGCAAGGTAAAACCTAAAAATTAAAGCTTAAGTTAGTCTAATGAGAGTATGACTGAGAAACTAAATATTCTTATTATTTCAAACCTAATCAAATTTTTAATTTAATATACATATTTGCCAGTATTGAAATAATAAAATAAACAGTATCACTTACACTGATGAGAATCAATGCTTTTGTTTTTTTACTTCTGTTTTTAATAATGATTTGTTTATGGTATTACAGTCGTCCTAAATTTTTCTCCCTAATCCCTCTTCACCCAGCCCGCCCCCCTCACTTCCATAATCAATGCCCACGTTGTCGTCCATGTCCACGGGTTCCTCATGAACGTGCTTTGACTAATCTCTTCACCTTCTTTCAATCAGTCCTCACCTTCCTCCTCCTCTCTTATCACTGTCAGTCTCTTCCACGAGTCTATGCCTCTGATTCTATTTTGCTCATTAGTTTATTTTGTTCATTAGATTCCTCTTATAGGTGAGATCATATGGTATTTGTCTTTCACTGCCTGGCTTATTTTGCTTAGCATAATGCTCTCCAGTCCCTTCCATGCTGTCGCAAAAAGTAGCAATTTCTTCTTTCTTTCTGTTGTGTATAGTTTTGTTTTTATTATGCAAAAACGATACACCAGTCTTTTCCACTGACAGTAAGAACTGTAACTGGCTCCAACATATTGCAGCTAGCGGCAAGACCAGAATTAATTCAATTTAAAAGGGAGTTTTCTTTTTTGGAGCTTTAATACCTTTGACTGGAGGTCTCATGACTTGTTTTAAACTTTTCAATAACACAGAATATCTTCCAAATCTAAAAATCAAAAGGGTAAACCTGAAGGGAGGTATGGTCTGAAATGTATGTTTTCTTTTTATATTTGCTGGGATGCCTGGCCTCATTCTGCAATCAAGGTCTCAGGCCTCGTCTAAGCCACCAGGGCGTTATTCTAGCTGTGTTTGTGGTGGGAGCCATCTGGTGGCCAAAAGGGGAAGACTATCGACTGCATCCCAAGGCTTTTCACGGGTGTCCAATCTGCATGCGGCCCAACACAAAATCATAAATTTACTTAAAACTTGTTTTCCGCTTGTCTGTTTTCGTTAGTGTTTGTGTATATAATGTGTGGCCCAGAGACGCCAAAAGGCTGGACAACCCTGCAGGCCTGCTGAAAGGATTCTGCAGCTTCTCCAAGGTGCCTCTAGCTAGTGGAAACCTGTTAAGATCTGTTCCAACCTGTAGCTGCCGCAGATGGTAAATTCTTGATTCAAAGACAGTCAGTGAATAGGGAAATAGCGCCTGCAGTCCATCAGGCATTCTAAACATCTTAGAAAACATTTCTGAAGAAGTCAGCTTTCAAAGAGTCTGACGTTGGAAGTCAAAAGAATGCCTTCTTTTAAAAAGCCCATACCCTCTGGCCCAGAGAGATGACCAAGGCGGTCTCAGAATACTGAAGGCCCTCAAAAGTGCCTTTGTCAAAATGCAGAGCTATAAAAGCAGCTGCCCAACCCTCTTCATCTCAAGGAAGGGCCAGTGCCCCAAGGAGCTTTCTGACCCAGTCTGTAGAACTGGAGTAGCCACTAGGTCCCACAGGACACTTCCATATCCAGGGTACCCACAGTGACCGCCATGCTGCTGGTGCCGCCTGGGACACGTGAACTTATGTCGGAGTCTGAGTGCCCGTAGGAGGTGCCCCATCACTGCTCTTCCACTTGAACTGACTGAAAATTCATTATTGTCCCAACACTACCTCCACCTGCTTAGCAGCATTCCATGTCAACTCTGATAAACCTTAGGTGAAAACAGATTTCACACAACGCAATTTATTAAAACAGGTGACAAAGAGAGAAAGAGTTGTTCGATATTATCTAATAGTTATACTGCTCACCTGGACAACAGGAGTCTGTGTATAAGTACTCTAAGAATGACAAGAAAGTCTCTTTGGAAACACCATAAACTGGAATCAGAACACTCTTTGCTTCCATGTAATTCCCATTAAACATCGCTGCCATCACCTCACAACGCGCCACCAGGATGGCCCTATGGGCTGGCACCGTCGTACCTGCATGGTTCCAAAGGGAAACTAAGTCAAGTGAGATAAGCTTGCAGAGTTATTATTCTAGCAAGTTTCTTCGTGATTAGACTGCTACTGCATTAGGCACAGCTAAGCTGATATACGGAAACCAAAATTTGGGGTGTTGACCAGCATTAATTCAGAGATTTTTAGTTTTTCATAAAACAAAGAGTTCAAAAGTTGACTTTGAAGCCTACAATTTGCAAGTCATGCAATTATGTGTTACTAGTTTATATTTCTTGATGATAAAAACACTGAACCATTTTTTTGCTTCATGTGTTTATAATGAAACATCTATCCTTTTATCCTTTCCAATTGTCCTGAAATACCACCTCTGCCCGTGTGCCTCCCAAGAAAACAATGACATTCTCCTTTCGGCCAACTCATAGGACAGTCCTGGTCCTTATCAGAAACAGGAAATAAACCATCTTTAGCCCAAGCAGTCTTTTTGTGGAGCCAAAGGGAGCATTTCAGATCTTAGGAAAATTGGGAAGGGGGTAGCCTAGTCCTCCTGCTGCCTCCCCGGCGCTGCCTCCCAGGGGAATCTCTCGGGACCCTCTCTCCCCTAAGTGAACAATGCCTGCTTCTGGGAGAGCCAGAGCTACCATCAATGTTAAAGGCCCCTCAGCCTACACCCCTCACTGCAGCTTTCTAGTAAAAACTTCTCTGGAAACTGTGCCACCTCACCAAACTCTAGAAGGGACATGTGTCACCTGGGGGCACGAGGGTGGAGAAGCAGTTCTTACTACTCTCGCCATATGAGGAAACCACGAATCCACAGCCAGCCCTCAGTTTAGTCTAGATCAGTTCAGCAGGTCATTATCCAGCACCCACCACGTGCCAATCACCATGTTAAGTATTGAAGACATGAAGATGAGAAAGACAAGCTACCCTGCTTAGGAGAAGCCAGGCTTTCAGCTTGATGGAAGACACCATAGCTAGTGTGAGTGACAAAGATGTCACCTTCCGGAAAGTAACTCTATGGGTGAAGCCACCCTACCGTGACCAAGAGTCTTCACTTATGCATCCCTAAAATCTCATACTCCTCTCTAAAATATTTATAATTATTGGTTTCTTCACTCTCTTTAAATCCAAGCAAAACATCTTTTGGCTCAGAAAAGAGTTCCATCTAAGCCCAGCAGCTTTCCCCAGAACCAGTCAGCCCCCAGCACTGCCAGTCTGAGCTCACTGCTTGGCACTGTGATTTGCTCAGGCGCACCTCCCACAGGAGCAGGGCGAAGGGGCCGCAGTGAGCATCCTACCAGGTCCGCACACACCTGCTTGCGGATAGCTTCCCCTCCCCCCTCCCTGCCTCTTTGCCTGTAGGCTGCCTGCCCTCGGTATTAGTATCCATCCACAGACTGGCCAGTTTCCACACTCAGAGGATGCTATATATATGTATACAGCGACTGACAAAGAATTCAAACAGGTAATGCAATTTCACTTGCAATTTTAAGGTTTTCAAGAACTTAAATTGGGTACCATGAAAATAAAAAGGAAATTAGAAGCATGGCTTAAATACATTAGATAACCTTTCCTTTGGGTTAGACAGAGGAATATGAGATTGGTCAAAAATACCAAGTGAATAGTAGATGGGAAAGGAATTTGATAAGTAACCTTGGAATTTTAATAGAAAATTTCCATTGATAATGTGGTTACAAAATCAGCAACAAAAGGCTCAATACCTTAAAGCATTTTCAAGTCAATTTCAAGCTTAGAATTTAGTTTAAAAAACCATTATGCCTCCAGTTAAGAAAACATCAACTTCTGTTTCTCACCTTTTTAAACTACTCTTTTGGTATTATATAAACTGTTGCACTGTGGAACTGTAATACAATACCTCAGTTTGGCCACATTTTTAAACATTGTACATAAATTGTATAAATATACAAACATTGTATAAAACTTACTGAATAAACAGTGCAGGGTTTATATACTAAACAGCAATAGGATAGAGCTGAAGAATTACTCAGGGAGGAAAAAAGACATCAATTTTTCTAGATAAAAGATAAACACATTCTTTGAAAATGTCAAGGCCAAAAGTGTCTTTCCTTTGTTGCATCAAATTGCTGTTATAGCTTTAAGAAACTTCTCTTAAGGAAAAGAGTTTTAAGACTGAAACAAAATTTAAAAGCCTAAGTTTTTCAGTAATATTGCATTGATTATCCAAGATCTTTGTTTTTATTATACACTAGAATAAAAGGCTACATTTATCATTACTTTTTCACACTTCCTGCGAAGTTTTAAAAGTAAAATTTTTAGAAATGTTTTGTTTTATTCTGAAAATAGAAAACTTGCCTAGTTCAAGAGAGATTTAGAATATGTACTACTTAAGTAAGCAGGGACAGAATGTAAAAGTATTTTTCATGAGGCACAGATTCAAATGTCAAATGGAAATTTGTGTCTTTCTACATCAGGCTTAACTGTTTACCAAGACTAGTTTTAGAACTGCTATAGTAGCTTCTTTAGAAATTATTTCATGGAAAAAGATACAAGCCCAAACAACAAACTGGGGGTGGCAGTAATTTTTTGATGACTATCTATTACAGGGATAGGAAATAGGTTTTATATCCTGTGTCACCTCCGGCCAGCTGTTGACGATGGCCTGGAACAACTGAAAAGAAGGGTGCCGAGGCCCTCGGTGCAGGAGGACATAGCGCATCAACCCACTTGTGCCGGCTGCCACCGCAGGCCTCTGCCTACGCCTTTATACGCGCCATCTCAGTCCCTGTGACCACTCAGCCAGGTAGGAGTGAGTATCCCCACTTTACAGGTGAGGAAACAAGGGATCAGAAATGTAAAGCAACACAGCCAAACCTATCATGTAATAGACAAGCGTCCAAGCAAGATCCAAACCAGGTCTTTCTTGTTAGTCCCTGTCACCACCACCTCATCAAGCTTAACAAGAAAAAGGACCTTTTTAGAATCTATATGGTTTACCTTCTTCACTTTGCAAATGAGAAGACTTAAGGCCAGACGTGTTAAGTGACTTGCCCAAGACACACGCTGCAAAGGAGCGCAAAGCCAAGGCTGGAGCTAGGGCTTCCGAACAAGGCTCAGCCTTCTCAGGAGGAGACGGCACTACTGCCTTCTACACTCTTCACAAGCCAGGCTTGCCTCTCCTCTAGGTGATGCCAGACAAACTGTCGCTGGACCTTGCTTCCACCCATCCTGCGTCTCTTTGCTCCTGACTCCCTGGGAGGCCTTGGCTTTGAAGCTGGAGAGGCGACAAAGAGCGCCACTGCAGCTCGCTTCAGCACAGGCGTACACACACCCAGCCCTCCGAGGCCGCCTCTGCACAGGTGGGGCGTGAGCAGGGGCCTGTGGGGGTCCACAGGGGGAACCAAGGAAGAAAAGCAAGAGATTACGAGGAGAAAGGATCCTCCACATCACTGCTTATTCCTTTTCTTTTTGTGTAACATATTTTAATGCGCTGCATATTCCCTTTGAAAATCTTTTCAGTAGTTTACACTAACATGATGTTTGGTTGCCAATGCCTCCTATGCAAATTAAAAGCAGGTGTTAATGACTCTCATGCAAATAAGCAGACGCGGTCTCTTGTTGGCTTTCTTTGTTCCACAATATTTTTATGTACTTCAAGGTCACTCTTATTGTCCCATTCTCAGTGTTCCAAGCTCACACTGCAGACAGTGCTGACTGTAGCTTATTAGAAGGTGGTTTGGATAGTTTCCAATTCACTGCTTGTCTTGGTAAGTGGCCAAAATTAAAAATAAAATGGATCTTTCTGGGGAAAGTTTTTTAAAAAGTAAATGACTGTTAGCTACCATACATTTCGACCATGAAACAGAATTACGTATTCCTTTTAGTAAGAAGCCACTTGAAGTCCTACTTATTTCATTTAAAAACAGCTCCTTCTATCCTTGCATAATTGAAGGTATCGGACATTTCATTTTTAGGATTATATTTTTAATCTACTAAAGTGACAGAGTTATCCAAGTGAATCATCAATAATGGACATTATTTTAGCTCATCGTAATTAAAATTAGGGAGCATTACTTTTCCACGGAGATAAAAAGCAGCGCCCAGTTGCCCTGGTGATAATTCTGAGTGCTGGGGGGAACAAACGCAGCAAGACCCTCGGATGCCTGATGTAGGCCAGGCCTGAGCCTCAGCCCATGGATAGTTCCTTTTGCTCAAATAAAAAGAGAGTGGGAGAGAATAAGCTAGAGGTAATATAATTTTAAGGGGACTGGTTTCAGATGATTCAGAAATTAGGATCTTAAAGAAATACATAAACAAAAATATTTATAATGAGGTTATATTAAAGATCACCCCATCCCTTACTGGTCCCTAAAAATTAATGAAATATATGGTAAGAAAAACTAAGAGAAATATAAATTTACTTTCCTATTTTAATAAAATACTTCATTTCTTTAGAAGGTTTTGTTAAAATTCAGATAGTGTTAACCTATATCCTGCAATAGAGAAATGCCATTATTCTTACACCCAAAATAGTCAAAGCTGAAGTAGAAAGTTAGGTAAGAACACAAGAAACAAAAGTGAATAATAAGCTTTGTAAAAATGAAGGGTACCTTGTATTTCGAAGACAACATCAGCAAGCATTGGTTTATTAAGGAAAAACTTGAGGGAAGTACTATAAAACCACAGAGGTTTTCTGGCTTGATAGGTTTTGCAATTTCTTAGGCAATTAATCTATAAGTAAAAACAAAAACACAAGGGTAAATGTTATACAAAAATCTTTGATAATATATACGGGCCGATTAGAGAATTTGGAAAACGGTGCTAAATGTTTAAATGATTACCTACTGTACGGAATCTCCGATCATAGCTTTCATGGGAATTTACCTTCAAGAACTACACCTACTGCCTGTCAGTGAGCAACACTGCACTGTGCAGCATTCACGGCAGTGAATGGACTGGCTGAGTGAAAACTCGACGCCATGACTGAGACCCTGTGGGGTCCTGAATCCCCGGGGTTCTGTTCCCTGGGAAACAGATGACAGCTGTCCAACCTCCTATGAATGCCTAGGAAAAATATGTTAACAAATACAGTCTGCTCGTTTCTTCACTAATTAAGAAAGTACATACACAAAAGTTCAATTTGTAATTTAAAAAAAAATACCAATTTTTCCCCATCACATCATGTCCTACTGCTTACCAGATCACTATTAAAATACCCAAGAGTGATGAACTGATTCACCTCCACCTTAATTTACAATTTTATAATTCTAAATATCATTCCTACCCATAGCAGGGACTGCTGAAATCTATGAAAGGGTTTTGCCTGGGTGTCTGATCTGGAACCCAGAGAACCTCCTCCATGACTATACCTGTCTGTCCCCTCGCACCCACCCGCTCTAGCTAGGGGCCTTCAGTAACAGTGCCTCTGTCAGACCTAGTGGTCTCCAGCCTTCCTCGGCTCCTCAGGATCTGGTGCTTTGTTTATCATTTCTGTCAACTTTCTGACACCCCAGGAGTCAAGGGCCAGCCCTTCTTCCCTCACCCTCTTCTACTCATTTCCCCTGAGGAGTCTCACAACTTCAGCCTGTGGTGAACTCTGACCTCTGCTTGCCTAGCTGGGAAATACAGATTTATTCCACCCCCCCCACCCCCTGCCAAAATCAAACGTATAGCGTTTGCATTATGAGTAAATGTCACCTACTTCCCACTCTGGATTAATCTACTATTGTGGGAAGTTAAAATATTTGGTGAGGGGAAAAAATATGACCCTTCCTCACAAGGAAAAAGAAAACACCCCAGAATGCTCTTCGTGGACAAGACAGAAGAAGCAAAACAGGACCATACAAATTCTGTTCCTATAGAGAACATTCTGATTCTATACACTATACTCATTAACACACACTGAAGAAATTGATGGAAAGGGTTCAGTTGAATGCCATACGTAAAAGACAGTAATAGTCAAAAGCATCACAAAATTTGAGTGCTAGCAAGAACCTTAGAAATCAGTTTATCCCTCATTTTTTTAAAATCCTCACCGAAGGATATGTTTATTGATTTTAGAGAAGAAGGGAGGGAGGAGAGAGACAGAGGGAAAGGGAGAGAGAGGGAGGACCGAGGGAGAGGGGAGGGGAGGAGAGGGAGGCGGACGGGGGGGAGAGAGAAGCGTGGATGTGAGATGGAAACATTGACTGATTGCCTCTCATTAGTGCCCCAACTGGGGACTCACCCCACAACCTAAATATGTGCCTTGACCTGGGATTGAACCCACTACCTTTGGGTGTTCGGGACAGCACTCCAACCAAACGGGCCGCCTGCCCAGGGCTATCCCTCATTTTACAGAAAGCCCAGAAAAGACTAGTGCAAAGCCACAGATATCATTTGTGGCAGCACAATTTAAATGTACACTTCCTGATTCCTAATTCTGTGTTACAGTCCTGTGTCATACTGACCCTTATCCCTGGGAATCACAGGAAGAAGGCATAGAAGAACTCTTCTTTCCTCCCATGCAGAGGAGGGAATTTGGTTCAATATCATGGATTCATGGCTCCCTTCCCCAATGAGAATTCATTTTATTCTTAGTACTCAAAGGAATGACCGTGTTCAGAATCCAACCCAAGGAAAGCTTGGCTTAGAACAAAAGGCAACACTTCTGCCAACCATTCATATATAAAGGTTATGAGTCTGTATATTATGAATACTGTGTAGGTGTATATTATGCATGTATGTATATGGATATATGTGTGTGCATGTGTGTGTGCGTGTGTGTGTATTCTTACCACCTATGCCTTAAATGAAAGGGCAAAAGTTTGGAGAGCACACAGATGTACATTATGTACATTTTCACTGATCTATGAACTAGTTAATCTAGAGAGCTTTTGAAGAATGAATGCAGGTTATGTGCATATTTAAACAAAAGCATTATTCAGTTGATTTCGACTGCAAGAGAACAGCTACCATGACACACACTTGTGAAACCGGGCAGCCTCTGCATACCTGCTTCAATGTGTTATTTGGAACAAGAAAAGTAAGGTCTTGCCCTTAATTCCATGTAACTTTGTTTAAAAAAAGTGTCCATTCTCTCAAAGAATAGTCAGGACTCTTCATTAAACACTAGTACAGTTTTAAATTTTTAAAATATTAACTTAAAATGTCAATAATTTAGGTTGTAGAATTGACGGTCATCTGTATAAAAAATTAAAGAAATAATTTTTATTACATTTATTATAAACCTACAATCTGCATTGCAAATAACTTACTTTTTCATCTACTGTAGCCAATTTGTTTATCACAGAATCTGAAATAAGACTACACTGGCTAAACTATGCAATCTTGTTTTAAAATGTAACAAATTTATTTTTAAAACCCTTACAGACAGTATACAATCTAAATGACTAAAGTTTTAATGTGCACAAGTATATGACCATACAGAAAGTCTGTATTTTTATAACCTTTGAGTCTAACTTATACTTTTGAACCTATATTAGATGAAAAACAAACCTTTAACCATTCACTTGCTCGAAGAGATTTCTCAGAATTCTCGAGAAGACACACACAGAAACTGCCTTGCTCCTGAACGTCCCCGGGCACTGGGGGAATGTTTCAGAGGATGGAGTCCACAAGTCAACATTTTAAAGACATGATTCACACATACTTTAATTCTCTTACATAAATTAAAATGTGAGCTAGTGAGAAATAGTGTGTTCACACTGAAAATATTTAAATGGCAAATACTTTTGTATACTTAAGTATATTTTAGTATATGTATTATATATAAATATAATATAAATTATATTAAAATATAATTTGCATATTATTGTGTCTTTTTATGACTCAAGTATATTTTAGTATATGTATTATAATTATATAAAATAATATAATTTGCATTTTGTGTCTTTAGACTATGTTATATTCATTATAGTATATCACTTATAATTCAGAGAAAGTCAAGGTAAAGTAACTTACTTTTCCTGGTGTTTTTAAAATGCATTTAACTTTCTCGATTACATTTGAAACATCTCCCGAATCTTTCAGCTTCTTCCTGATATCTTCTTCCAATTCTTCCCACTGGAAAGCACCTGTAAACAAATGAATATATATTGACTTTTTCTGTTAATGCAGGAAGAAAAATAAATACCTTATGAGATACCAATGTTCCCTCTTTTTTCATAGGCTAATTTTTCTTTACCAAATACATATCCTTGTAATTACCCGAAAACAGTTACACATTTAAAAAAAAATCAGTTTGTCTTCCCCTAAATTATTCAAAAGCCAGTCTTCCTCCCTGGATAGCTGCCACCTCTCTGTAGAAGGTGGTCAGCTAGTGATACAAGCAATGGTCACAATCTGAGTTACAACCAACATGGGGTCCAACAGCCAAATTATTTACTTGCCCTGTGGTCTTTTCTAAGGTTGAATTAAATTGTTCTAATCATGGAGAGCAGCGCCTCTCACCAGCTAGAGGAGCAGGCAGCAGGAATAGAAACCTCTCTGAAGGTCTCACGCACGGGCAGGGTCACAGCAGGGCCCGTTCCACAGCCTCGCTGAAAGCCAACCAGAAGAGTGGGAGCAGGTAACTTTCCGATGAGCTACATGACCGTGGCACTGGAGCAGAATCGCCCCACTTGGTCCCTCCCTCCCCTGTCTTTATCCCAACCTACTTCCAAGGTGTCCCTTCCTAGGCTCGCTTTACTTGTGCCTCACACTCTTTCAGCTCCTTTCCTTGCTATCTTAAGAAATTCCTACTGCGTATGGTCAGCAAAAGTTCACCTTTTCCTCAAGCACTCTCCTCACATGGCCTAAAGCCGCCTCCCTGCTCCCTAGTGGCCTTTTCCTCATCTGACCTATGCTGATGTTTCCAAAAGTACAACTCCGATCATGATATTCTGAGAGATTACCCTCATCCATCCCATGGCTTATAGAAAGTCCTAATGTCTAAAATATAATTCAAAAAGATGTGGAATCAGTGGGCATAGCTGGGGGACCCAGTTTCTAGCTCTATCTCTGCCATTAATTACTGGTGTGACTTTAAGCAAGTCACTTCCCCTCTCTGGGTACCTTGGTGCCCTTTTCTATCTTCTCTCAATCTATCTCTTCTGATGTTTCCCTGTATGTACCCAGAACTTTGCCAGATGCCTTCATGGATGCTGGGGAGTAGAGAGGGTACATGATAAACAGGCATTGAACCAAGGAGAGCAGGCAGTTGCAGCCAGCCTGTACCCAGGAGATCAAAGTCGGTCTGAGGAGTCAGACTGACAGCCCAGCAGCTCTCAGGCCTCCTGACAGTGGAGCCCGGCTGCACTCGGCACTTTTCCTGGATCTTTAAACTCCTCCGCTGACCTTCGTGATGACTACAGTGTATCCTGCAGGGATGGGAGGAGCCCTGATTTGAGGCCTTTGCTCTTTCTTTGATGTAAATACTCCCCCCAGGGCCATATTCCAGCTACCACCATGACAGAGCAGTACACGGAATTGGCAATAAACACAGTTGGTCCTCACAAGCTGGTGCCAGCTGGTTCCAGCACGCTATGCTTCTTCCTACCTTTGATCACTTTTTCTGACTTCCCTGTTCGCTCCCCTTCCACCTCAAATTCCCAAAGGTGTGCAGTCTAGAGCAAGACTATAGTTTTTGTTTTTCTCTTTCTGCACGAATGATTTTTAACTTTAAGATAAGATATTCTTTTCATGATTCTGATAAATTCTTTGCATTGTCATTCCAGAAAATTTCACATGCACATATAGACAACAAAATCTATATTAAAATGTCAGGCATAGAAAAACCCTTCAGAAGTCAAGGGATGCAAGATCAAGAAAATTTACTCTACGCCTGTGATTCTCAACTCTAGCTATGCATTACATTTACTTAAATATCTTCTATAAAATACCACTGGAGAAGGTCTCATCCTCAGACCAACTGAATTAAAATTTTTGGTGTGGGGCCCAGACATTGATTTTAAAAGCCTCCCAGGTTAATCTAAAGTGCACTGGCTACTGATGACCACTGCTTTACCCTTATATATTTCATCCATTATCAAACCCTAGGTCAGTGGCATGCAGCAAACAGTATGTGTAGGGATTTTTGATTTGTCTACACTTGTGCATGTTAAAGGGGAGCACAGACACTGTCTCTTCAAAGTAAAATTGCATTAATTAAAAAACACCTATACAATACCTCCATTCAGAAGATTATGTGAAAGAAAGCAAGCATCAAATCTAAATATATGAGATTAGTAGCAGGTGAATTCCTACAGGCCACGGATCTGTTTAAGAATAGACACAGAAAGATCCAATAACTAAAACTGAAAGTAAGACTAGTTCAAAAGGTTCATAAGACTAGTTCAACAGTCCAATCATTGGGCTGTTTTCACAATTAGGAATGCTAACTAATCATCTTTGACACTTTTAGGTCCTAATAAAACAATGATCCTTAGCCTGGGATTTTTTTTCTTTTCTTTTTTTCACTGTGATAAAACCATTTAACATGCAATCTATCCTCTCACCAGAAGTTTAAGTGTTCAATACAATGCTGTTAACAATATGCATGATATTGCATGTACAGATCTCTAGAAGTTATTTGTCTTGCACAAGTGGCTGGTATTTTCTTTACTTCTCAGGGCATTTGGCATTTATTTACTTAGACTCTTATAGAGCACGGAATACACGTGTGTCCTAAGCTACACTTTTATGCAGTGCAGAAAAGGGCATGCCACAGAATGATTCTAACAGCTGAAGAATATTATGCAAACTGAGGGTGCAAGTGTGCTTCCACATATTCACTTACCGGGATGGCATTTCAATAAGTGATGTGAAATTCTAAGGGCCATCTATAGCAGGAAGAGCTCAAACCTAAATTCCTGAGGCTCTTACAAATATTTCTGTCTCTAACCATCTGAGATCATGTGACTCAGGAATGTGTAAGCATAAAGACACATCAAGGGGTGTTAAGAATGTTACGACTGTATACCATTTAAGGATTACTCCACTAAGACCAGGAAACCACTGCGCTCACTTTTCAGATTGTTCCTTCTTTAGTATTAGTCATTAAGTACCTAGACATCATGCAGTGTTAGCTACTATGCAATGGAATATTAACATATACATACTTTTATGGTGACTACCCAGAAATTTGGATAGAAATATAAACTGAAAGCTTATAGGTGTAATGTGTTAGCCAGACTATTAAACAGGCCCTTCCTAAATACAGGACCCAACTGTTCTATATACAAAATTTTCAAATTCCTAAAGATTAAAAAAGTATGTTATTAAAAAATTAAGATATTCTTTGTAGTTTGGTTCATTTTTTTTTAAAAGGCAGGAGCTAGGTTTTATATGATTTTTTCAGCCCACGTTTGCTCAGGGTAAATATTCCAGAGTGTGTCATGTCCTGGAGTTCTACCTCTGCTTTGCCAACGCAGCTGACGTGAGCGCAAACAGCTCCTGTCCTCTAACATAGCAGGCCCCTAACATAACCCGTGGGTAGGCCTCTGTGAGGAAACCATTACATAACAGAGTCTTAAAACCTGTGCTCTGTTCAAAAGTTTTTAAGTGTTTAAGAACAACAGAAAAAAAAACAAAAAAACAAACAAGCCAACAAAAATCTCACAACCCTGGCCTCTGTATTGAAGTCTCCGAGGAAAATAATAAAACAGTAACCCATTCACAAACACAGACTAGAGAGTAAAACAAAACGTCAATAAATGTTTAGGTGTTTGAGAGGGCAGATCTGGCTGATTTTTTTCTCAGTAAATTTTTCATATTTTTAAAAATTGTCTTTACTGTGCAATGTGGCTTTAATATCTTCTTAAACATAACTTAGATATTGTAACTTTTGCTTGAGTCTGAGGTTATGCTCTGTAAATAATTAAAGAATAATGCACAGGTGCCTGCTGAAGCATTTATTTTGCCTTCTCCTCAGCCAGCAGCAGGGACTCCCTACAGTCCCAGGTCAGTGGCCTGTGGCCCTGGTCGCACCTGACCCCACCTCGCTGCGCCCTGACATAGGAGAGGTCAGAGCAGAAATGCAACAGCTCAGTGTGAGGTTAAGAAGCCAGGGCTCTGAACCGGTCAGGGGCTTGTGGATCAGCAGGCTCTCCTTGCCTTCACAGCCCTCAGCCCTCTAATTGCCGTTCCCCGACTCAGTTTCCACCCTGCCACTAAGCATTCACTTTCCCCAGCTTTAGGAAGAGATGACCATAGGGCACTGACAGCCCAGGCTCCAAACAGCCCTGGATCAGCCAACCTTGCAGCTGACCCCATTTTGATTTTGTGCCCTCAAATTGAGAACTGGGTTCCCCTCCTGGGCCTCTGGCGTGAATTCTAGACCTTACCCCCCGACTGTGGCTGCTCGCCAGTTCTTCCAGGAGCAGGTATTGCAGCTGCTGTGGTCCAGAGCAACAGCATCACCTGGGAGACTGTTGGAAATGCAGAATCTCATGCCCCACCCTGAGGCTACTGAATCACAGCCTGCACATTAACAAGACCCACAGGTGACTTGTATGCACTTTAAGGTTTGAAAAGCACTGGCCCAGATGACGGACAAACCTCAACACCAACCACCTTCATCAGAATGTCTGCCTTCCTGAGGGTGATGGCCAGAGTGGCGGGGGCCTCCTAACTGGACTCCTGTCTTGACTGCTCTATTCATCCTTCCCACCATCAGCAGAGATGAGTTTTCTAAAGCCCAGTCTGATCATGCTTAAAATTCTAGAACAGCTTCTGAGAACAGCAGGAACAGGTCCCATCGACTCTGTCAGCCTCATTCTTTCCCGTTGCCACCTCCCACTCTGTCCTCCGGCCACTGGGAACTACCCACGGTTCCCAGAAAACAGCAGTTACTGGAGATTCCATTTTCATTAATGCAAATTTCCCAGGAGTTAATTTCCTTCAAATAACATCACAGCGAACATATGAAAAACTGATTATAGGTAACTGACTCTGGGGAAGGGAACTAGAGGATGAGAACTTTTCTTTCCCCCCTTCTTTCCATCTGCCTGTATTAATTTTGCAACTTAAAAAAAAAAAATCACTCCCTAGTAGAAAGACAGGTAGGTTCGGTCACTGGAGAGACATCTAGCAATTTTACTGCTACAACATCAAAGAGGCTATAACTGACCTCAAAGTGTTCACGTGCCTTTGAAAGTATTCAGTGGATATTGTGGGTAACTTGTGAATAATTCATAATTGTAACAGTAAAGTCATTGAAAGGGAAAGCCAAACACTTCCTTCATAGTTTTCTAAACATATCATTAAAGTCATTTTTTTCTTTTAACATGTAAACATTTCGTTTTTGAAAAATTAGTCTTAAATTATGAACTGTGAGATTCTAGGTTTAAACACAAAAATCTGTAGTGCTAAAAGAAGTCTTTAATGTGGTTTACTCATATGAGGATTCCCTGCTGCTCGAGTCTACTCATTAATTTAACCGACACCAACAGAGAACCTGCTGTGCAGAAGGCACTGTGCTAGTGGGCCTTGTAGGAGTGATTATTTATGCCTTTCTAACCTCGAGTTCACTGAACAATGGATTTAACACCTACCACCACATTCCACTCCAATGTATATACATATTTTTAACCTACTTATATCTGTGCTGCAACTGTACTTTTCACAACCATTAATTTTCAACTTATAGAATTATATAACCACAACCCAAATGAAAAAAGTAATATCTTATTTTTAGCATCAATCATTTCAACTGAAGGCTACTCAAAACTTTTTTACCTATAGGAAATGCTACTTGTTTATTTGCAAACCTTTATTAACGTCATATCTGTCCCCAATTCTGATGTCTAAAAACAGATTATAAATGTTTTCCCAGACACATTCAAGAGAAGGAATGACCTTAACCTCATATTTTATCAGCATAATTCCAAGTGAAAGAAGAAAATTAAAAAAGAAAGAAGTTCTCAAAAAAAATATATTTAGATGCTCACTTTAGAGGTCATTTTATATCCTATTCTTTTCCACTCCTATATGGGACACTTAGATGTGAGACCTTCAATTCATTTGCTAAAATGACTCAGATAAAGCTTCTATTCCTTAAAATAAAATTGCTATTGAGAGAACAAAGAGAAAAATAATGGATAAGCTGAATCCTAAAAAGGTTAGAGTACAGTAAGAAAAGTTAAGTCTAAAATAGTCCTAGCCAAAGTTGGCCAGGTCTCAGCCTAAATGCCCTTCAGATCCTGTTTCCAGTTTCTAAACCGAATGCAATGACCCTGCTAATTTCTCTCCTCATTCCCTTCCAAAATCTAAGTGTCAAAAAGGAAGGTGAATATATAGTTGGGTTTTAAGATACCGACACTTATTTTGGTATATAACTGGAAAATTTTATGTCCTTAAAGTTAAACTGGACAATAAATTCTTATACTTTCACATTTGGGGTATTTCTTGCTTAGTATGAGACGAGATTACTGTTTTTACAAGTAGTTTTAAAACCAGGGCAAGTAAACTTGTAAGGAACATGAAAAATTTGGAACAATTCCTGTGCATAAAACAAATACTATTTAATATATAATCTTCTTCAGATGATAGGAAGAAGATAAATGCAAAACTAACCAACACTCCCAAGGACCACAGGTACACTCCATTTCAAAAGCTTAAGAGAATGTACCAGAACCATTTGACAAGATACCTGAATAAATGAAGCGCAGAATGTCCGATAAACACAAACAGAAGTGGGCGTCTTTAACAATGACTCGCAGTGGCGCGTTGCCTGGAGAATCCTGGCTAGCACCTGGAAACCCAGTATCTCTGTTGATAGCAAAGAGATCCTGGGTAGTTCGGATGATACTGGAATCCTGAATGTCAGCGGGACTCTTCACGTTGAAAAGCAGCATGAAAACATGGCTTACAGCACAGAGCACGATCTTGTGGGCCTCTGCAACCTCCTTCAAATCTGGGTTGTAAAATACCACATCCACACACTGGCAGCAGAACAGCAAGTTATTTAAGTCAGCGTTATAATGTGATGCTTCAGCCTTTAAAACGGGCATTTTTTCTGTTTCAAAAAAGAAAATGAAAACAGTAAATTACTCTTTGGGTCTACAGACCTAATCATTTCAAGTTTACCTTAAATACAAGAAAACAAATTTTAAAAATACTATTAGATTGAACCATATGAAATTGCCAACATTTGGCCATTTTGACCTACAAAAACAGCAATTTTATATAGTTTAACCTACTTAAAAACATATAAAAATAATTATCCAAGGACTATAGGATTTAATAACACAGACACACAGAAATGCTGTATTTACTTTTCATAGTGCAAACAAAAAAAAACCTATTAATGCCATAAGGAGCAGTAAAATAACATCTCTCATTATTTGTATGTTGCCCAAAATAAACCATCCCTCCAAATACTGAATTTTAGTATGTTGGTAGTCATCATTTTTTACTGACACCTGACAAAAATTCAAACAAATTATAGAATACATCCTGAATACATTATAGAATACAATCTCACACTGGAAGTCATTTTCCTCCTGGGACTGAAAGTGGGGAGATGAATTATTAAAACTGCAGCTTCTCAAAGCCAGGGCTCATTGTCTTGGACTTCACTGTTTAAAACCACCTTGACCATTTTATGTTGATCCTAAAATTAGTATTTTTTCTTTCTAGTAAAACAATATGCTTTCCCAGAATCAGCTTTTTCCCCTCAGCATATCTCAGGCAGTGTTAGCTAGGCTTCCTCATTTCTGAAAGAGGATGCAACCTTCTGTTTCCTAGTTTGATTACTAACAAAAACAGGTTAGCCTGTAATCAATTCAGAATATCCACAGAGAAGACCACACCATATGCTCTCATCGTAGACCCTGATTATAAACTGTCTGCTGTCTAACTTTCATCCAAAGCTGAGCTGAGGAAAGTGTTATCTGTGAAGAGTTTCTTGGAGGGTTTGCAATCACCTGAATCAGCGAAGTTCATACTTCTTTGGCAATGAAAATGCTTTATTTTAATGCAAAACTCCAGTCTATAAAATGAACAATAACAAGGTAACTTGGGGGCCAGGCTTTCTGCACTGATCCCCCACCCTTCCCCCTTTGTACTGCCTGACGCACTTTCATGGACCCTTAAAGGCTGAGCACAGCCTGCAAGTCACGTGCCCCAGAATCCAGGATCTGTCCTTGGAACAACTCAGAACCAGAACAGATGTGTACCCAGATCTGTATTGTCCTGGACTCCTGGATTTTGTTCAGTGTGATATCCGCAGCTCTCCTAACAGAAGAGAAACAGCCTTGGGAAAGTTGAGCCTGCATTTGCTGATGGGACACTTTTGAAAGCCCTGTGCACTATATTATCTAGTGTCCCTAGACAAAGACCCACAGGAGAAACTTCGTTTAGTGGTAAATAACATGAAATGCTTTGCTTTCTCTGAGGAATTGGTGTGTTTTCTCTTCTTGATTAGTGAGAACTGAGAAGGTATCTATCTGCCTTATTTATTTGGCTATTCCCTACCCATCTTCCCATCCAGAAAGTGTTTATGGCCCCAGTGTTTCCTACATAATAGACATGTCTGTCCTTTCACTCCGTACAGCACGCAGTTCAAAGCCAGGTGTGTATCATTTATGGCAATGATTTTCAGCTGGTATGCCCCAAGGACCTTTAAAACATTCAATACCTGACTACTCAGCCAGGAGCACTGTCTCTTTTCCCTTAAATTGTCAAATTAAAAAATGACAACAGCCAACCCAACAATAGCCATCTGGTGTGAATGTATCAGAATTATACCTATTAATTTTGTCGGATTGGCAAAAAATATATTTTTTGGTGTGCCGCAGAATTTTATAAATTAATGTGTGCCATGAGATGACAAAAAGTTGAAAATCACTGCCGTATGGTATCCATATCTGCATTTGTTTTTTAAACCTGGAATTGATTTTCCATACTAATTTATATTTTCTTGATTTTTAATTTACATTCATTCATTCACTCAACAAATACATATCAAGTACCTATTTTTTAAAAAGCAATATCCATAAGAAATTAATCTGGATAGGGTACTATTCTACTACTTCTATCACAAAATTATGCAAAAAATTATAACAGTTGATATGATTTTATTAATTTTTAACTTCATTTTCTTTCAACTTTGTATTATGAACATTTTCAAACATTCTAAAAGTTGAAAGACTAATACAATGAGCACATATATATCTTTACCTTAAATTCTGCAATTTTTTGCCTTATCTCTAGATTCTCTCTCTTTCACACACTCACACTCTCACACTGCTGACCCATTTAAAAGTAAGCTGCAAAATCATCAAAATGTTTTGTCTTTAAATACTTTCAAATTCATCTCCTCAGAAGGGGCAAGTCAGGGAACATGTATAGAGGACCCATGGCCACAGACAACTGGATGGAGCTGTGGGAGGAGGAGGTGTGTGTGGGGGAGTGATGGGGAGAGCAACGGGGAAAAATGTGGGACAACTGTAATTGAACAATGAAAAATAAATAAAAAAGAATAACAACATTCTATTAATCACAACAGCATTATCATACATAAGAAAATTAACAATAATTCCATAATATCATATAATTTCTAGTCCACATTAAAGTTTTATCCAACCGCCCCAAGAATGTCTTTCAGATGTTTTTATTGAGCCAGTAGCCAATCAAGGTTCATGCCTTGCATTGGGTTGTCATTTCTCATTAGACTACAATCTAGAATAGCTCTCCACAACACACACTATGTTTAAGAATCTATGTACGTTCAAGTTTTTAAGACAGTGGTCCTCAAAATGTAGTCCAGGTACTGCGTGCTTCCAAATCGCCTCAGAATCTTATTTAAAAGGCAGATTATAGGCTCCATCCCAGATTTACTGAATCAGAATGCCAGGCGAGTCCTAAATACATTAAATTTGAGAACAATTGCTCTAAGACTTGTAAAATGATCTATAATAAATATAAATTGGCTATCTAGATATTGGCTAATAAACGCACCTGGTTGTTCAAGCTGAGGTGGTCTAATTCCATGAAATGAGTTGCTCATTTTCCTCTTCTTCATTTTTTCACTTGTCTTCTGGTTTAAGGCTTGAATCATAAAATACTCCAACTAAAACATGAATCAAATTTTAATTAAAGCTCCAACAAGTTATATATCTGACATGATTATCTGCACCCATATCACATTTGCCAAATGTGTTTAATGCCAGTACAATCTACACGTAAGCTTTAGCAAACACTTTCAAACATTTTCTTCATTTAAAAAAAAAAATGTATCAGGTAGATCAGATTGTACCTTGTCTAAACATAAATCAACTATCTGATCAAGAAGGAACTGTTTATTCTCTTGAATAATCAAGAAAGCCAAGCAATAAAACTCTGTGACCGTCAACAACCGTCTCTCCGGTAACCATGGCAGTTAATATTAGAGAAAGTCAAGGCAGGAAAAGATTTGGCTATGTTGCATATGCTCGTATCAGCTAGGAAAGTTATCATGTGCTCTATTTTTTTCCCTGAATAAAGTACTTTGAAATACATCCTTTATTTTATAAATTTAAAATCTTAACCACATGTATTCACATAGCTCCTCAAAGGCCTGTGCTTTGCTGTGAGGCTTGGGGCAAAAGTACAAATGCAGGTTCCCATATCACACAACCAAATATTTAAATGATATAAATCAAGAAAACAAACTGTTATGTAAAAGATATTCTATTGTCCTTCTTTGACAAACATATCAGCATAAAAGCCTGGACGGCCAGGTTCAGATTTAAATTCTCAGGCTCCTCTGAGTCTCAGGCAGCACAGGAGGAGTTGGTCTCTAACTCCGGGGCCCCAGATCCTCTTCCCTCCCAAGCCCCTGCTCCATCCTCTGCCTTGAGGAGGTGTGTGCGCACACATGCAGACGTCATGGCTGCATGACCAAGCTCCATCCACTGTCCCTTCCCCCAGTCTGCATACACAATATCCCCTGGCCACCTCTCAGGGCTGGGAGGGCACACACCAGCATGTGGTCCACCTGCAGGAGGATGGGACCAGGAGAGAAGCCTGCACAGGCCTGGGGGACAGACTCTGGGCCAGCTACCCAGGGAATCCTGGGGTCCTGGGTTTTGGAGCATGGTCAGTACAACTCTCTATTCTGTGTTGATGGAAATGCTCTGTAGTATTTGTGCTCTTTGATGCAGTAGTTGGTAGCCACATGTGGCTTAAAATGTATACCTGAAAGGCAACTAATGTACTCGAGGAGCTGAAATTTTTTTATTAATTTAAATATAAGTAGCCACATCTGGCTGTTGACTACCACATTAGATGCTGCAGGTCTAGAGGGGCTACCAGCTCTAGTGGGCACATCCCCTTGGCTCCAGCGTCCCGTGCCCTGTGGGGAGGGTACAACTGGAAGAGAGCTCGATGGGACTCTCTAAAGCTCGAGGGCACATGCCTCTCTTGCCCAGATCTGAAGGTAATACTGCACAGCTCTTCATCACTGACTTTTAAACACAAGATTTTAAATGTTGCTTTCATTCTGACATTACTACCTCTATGCATATTCTTACAAACATCATTATTTCTTACACTCAAGATCTCAGTTGTATTTTACTTTTCAAGAGTCTAAAAAGAGATTATTCTGATTTTATTTCCATATTCTCATTAAGTCTTGAGTTTAGGAGAAAGTAAAGTACCAAGTTTTTCTTCCAACACTGACCACATCTTCATTTGCCATCATGCCTCCAACTCTAACTGGAACACTAGGTATTAGGAGCAAAGAGAAACAAAGAGGGGAAAGGAGAGAAAGAGAGAAGAGAAAGCGGGAATTGGGAGGTGGGAACAGTGATCCTGAGAACTTCAGGTTCAGGAACCCGAATGGGAAACAGGAGGACTATGCACTCCCCTGCCCTCGACCCCTGCCAAGAGAACCAGCCCCCTCTTCTCCAGCAAATAAAACTAACCTATGATCCTCGCCCCCAATTTCTTAGGTATTTCAGGAAAATGTAAGAGTATTAAACCAAATTAGTATTTTTTAAAAGCCACTATAATATAATCTGCTTGACAGGAAAATTAGATTTCACCCCTCTCTTTCTACCCACTGCTTATCAATATAGGTAAATAAGACAAAAGCTTCTCAATCATTGACACTATCAATATTATGAGTATATCTCCCTTAATGACTTATTATTGTTTCTTTATAATACTGGGTGAATAATAGCCAGTTATATACGATAGAAATCAAAATCATTTACGTTTGGTCCTTATTTTATCTTTGGTTCTTATTTGGAGTTTAGTAACTCCAGAACAACTGAGTTTTCTACAGCTATCTATGGGAATCTTAACATTTCAACATAAACCTACACAGTGAATATTCAGGCATATTGGAAAGGGTACCTGATTGGGAGCTAGGGAACTGATGGGGAAGTCCAAAGTGCTCCTGCTGACTGTAGGCTTTACTCGGTTTAAACCTCTTACCAATGTTTACTAAATATGTCTATTAAAAGAAGTCACTACTTGGAGGGTTGGGAAGACAGTTCCAAAGTTAGTTAATACTTAAATGAAACAGCTCTACAGTATTCTTCAAGGATCAGGCCGTCCTCATGCTGTAGGGCAGATGCTGTGTGCCAAGGCGGGCCTCAGAAACTCCTGCAGGGCCAGGCAACGCCTCTGCAGCGGAGCAACAAACCCCTCCTCACATAGCCAGCAAGAAGCTATTTCACACATTGTTCCTCTGGATAGTTCTGAGCTACATCAAGAGCAGAAGCACATGGAATTTTGATGAGACACACAGATAAGAATAATTATTTTTTTCAATTAGTAGAAATGAAGGAGAACTTTCAAGACCCACTGGTTCAGGCTGCCAAGCTGGTTGAGCTATTTAAAGTTTACTAGGAAAGCTGACGTTACGGGTCTGTGTAAGTAAACATACTTTAATAAAGTAGCACCAGATGGAAAATTCTAAAACATCATATCAGACAACAGAAAATGTTTCATTTCAAGAGAAAAATAAAATTATAATTTTATTCTAGCAAAACCTTTCTTTCTACGTAGTCATATTATTTCTCAAAGTTAAAACTAATTATGCTTTTAAAACTAAAGTTCTGAGATTCTGAAACACAGCTAAAGAGCCACCTGACAAATGACTTTAATGTATGTAATAGGAATTTCCACTCACCACTCCTCCAAAATATTTCCCTATGTAGAAGTCATCAAGGCTGTGTAGCTCCAGATAGGTAGCTCCTAGTTCTTTAGCAAGTTGGATCCCTTCAGTCGTACTGACACAGCTCCCTCTGTCTGAGGTGCATAGTGGGCATGTGCAAGGTAATTCTTCTGAGAAAATGAATGGGAACAACAAAGAGCTTTGAATTTAAACATAAAAAAGCCATGTACGTAGACAATCTGAACGTTAAACAAGAGCTCACATCAGAACCACAGTTCAAGGGCATTTAGTATATCCATGATCCACTAAGGTTCTGAATAAAAAGTGTCGATGACAATAGAAAAGTTCCTAATATTAAAAAAAAAACCCAAAACCTTAACTGTAAGAAGGATAAACAGTATTTTAGAAAATAGAGGAACTTAAAAATAGATGATTGAATATTACCAAGGCTGCTACAGTGACTGTACTATGAGCTAGTAATGGCTGGCCTGCTTCCTTTTACACAATCTTGAATCCTCAGTATCAATACAAATTTAACAACTCGGTTGCCCACAGGAACCATGGAAAAACAGTGGGTTGTTAAATTTGAACTACATTCACCAAGTTTGAATAGACCTTATACTTTTATTTTAATAGAATCCTCAATTTGACCTGAATCTTCAAGGCTGTGAAACTGCTACTCTCATTGTAAATTTCATGTAAAAATACATTCTTATTAAACCACACATTTCAATTATTATACTCTAAAGCATTCAACTGCAGAGACCAAATTCAATCACTCTTTATCTTTTTCTTCAGGACTGAACTATAAAAAACTGAAGGAATAAAAAGTATTTAATCAAAATGTGTATTGTTCCAAGATTCATAGCTATGCCACGTACAGAACTGACTGGGAAAGCGCTAGATCAACCTATGTGTAAGTGCACTCCATAATAAGGCTCAAAATATATGTTCAACTCTGTTTGTCGGCCAGCTTCATTTCATTTCATGCCAAAACAGATCTGTCACCCTTCAAAGACAGCCAAGTCAAAAGGGGATAAATCTGTTTCTGGAAATGCATGCTGCTTGTAGGTTGGCTTCCCTGGGAAGCAGACTCTGTTGCACAGGAGGTTAATTGGGGGGTGACCTTGGAAAACAACTCTTCTCAGGAGTGAAGGAAGTGGGACTGGGCAGAGGGAAAATTCGAACTGCAATATAGTTGCAAGAGCCCCAGCTGATCCTACAGGGGATTCTGGAGCTTAGACGGCCCTTAGAATGGTTCCCCATTTGGGGGAAAGCAGCTGGACCTTTGTATTCCTAAATCCACCAGTGATTAGAGGAGGACCACTGTGTGGAGGGGGCAGAGCCTTAGGCAAGCAACTTCTATCAGCAGAAGGTAAGGTCTGAAAAGGGACACATCTATATGGCACCAGCAGCCAACAAGCCCCATCACAGAGGGTGTAGCATCAGCAGTGGCCTTGAAAGGGCACTCGGGAAACTCCCTGCAGTATACACAGCAGATTTTCTATCAGTGACATGCAAAGAGATGGAGCACATATATGAATATATAGGGTGTAAGCCACGGATATTTAGTGCATGCTCCTACTGTGTGTGTAGTTATGCATGCGTGCACATATGGTTTAGATAATTCTTGCTTCACTGAAAGCATTTCAGAGCTCAGAAACTATGTACATACTCACATCCTCATTTTATAGAGGAGGAACCTGAGGCTCAGAGAAGTGATTTCTTGTGTCAGAGATGGAGAAACAATAAAAAAACAGATACTTGCTCCACCTGATAAAGGGACACCAAAAATAAGCTAAAAATTTAGCCTGAGTAAAGAACTACAGATTCCAAACATATGGTGATTTAACAAGTTAAGCTTGGGTTTTCTAAATTATGCCATAAATTCTACTCTGAGTTTCTGCATTTACTTTTTCTAAGGTCATTTTAGGTTTGGAGCAAACAAAGTTTTCATACAGAATTCAGGCTATTTTGAAATTGGTATTTCACATTCTTTACAAAGGTTTCATAAGCAGTGTCTTTGATTTTCTGGAGACAGAGGGTTTCTTATGTCTACAAAGCTCTCCTTATGTTGATGGAATGGGGTGGGCAGGCATTAAACTGTATTTCTATACAAAAATAAAGCACAGTCAGTACTGTTTCAAGTGAAATATTAAGTGAACATAATTTAATATAATTTTGAACCAATAATCTTGATTTGAAGGAAACTAAATAATTTCAGGTTTAATCCAGCTAAGGGGGTTTTCCTTTGTGAGTAGCCATATGGATCTCACTGACACCCATGCCTAGGAAGCTCCTCCTTATAGCTAATCCTTATACAGCCTCTATGTCACAAAAGGCATTTCTTTTTGTTCACACACACAAAAGGAAAACTGCTTAGTCATTATGTGTAGGGTAGGACAATCAACAAACCATTTATGGATTAAATAAACCTTCACTGAACATGTCACCAGGAACAGAGGACGCAAAAAATTTTCAACTGTGGTACTTTCTTCAGGAGCTCTCTCCTGTGAACCTACCCTCAAAGGGTAAGAGGGACTCTGCGAGTCACAGTGCTGTGCTTCTAGTTAACACTGTAGGGTTTTTTCTTATATGTTGTCTTTGTAGTTATCACTAAATGTGTATTATTTTAAAGTAAATAAGATGTACCTTTGATATTCAAATGAATGGCATCTCTTTCAAAGCAGTGGCTTTGAGAACCTGTACAGTGATTCTTAGAATGCTGCCAATGCTGAAACTTTTGGAAATCCTTGTAAGAATACTAGCCTAGCAATGCACTAGGCTCTATTAGAGCTTCAAAAAGAAAAGAAGACAGTATGCCAATTTTTAGGAGCTGAAGGCTATGAATACACCCTGGGCATGGTTGGAAAATTTTCTTCTACTTTAAAGATAAATTCAATATTTAGTAAAAGCCATAAATTTATTCAGAGCTAAGAATGATGAAGAAGATATACGCAGTCTAGCTTGTCAAAACATGTATATCAAAGGAAAGAGATGAGACTGACTGTGTTTGCTGAACTAATTCTAAAAAGAGATCAAGAGAGGAATTACCAGGAGTTTCATGTATTACAAGGGATTGGCGGGGGGAGGGGAGACAATAAATGTCCTTGAGTTGAATAGACAGGTTTAGCTTTGTAATTACTTTGTGATCAAATCTTATATGGTAAATTAATTTCATCTTGTCAGTGAAATTTATTTTTTTCACTTAGGTATATCATTCATAAAACTATTAAACCATTCATTGAACAAATATTTATTAAGCACCTATCACATCAAATACTAGGGCTACAAGGACACACAAATAAAAGAAATTCATAGTCAGTGGAGCCAAGATAGACCTGACTGCCCACAATTACAATGTAAATACTAAATAAAGGTATATAAAATCACCATGGGAATGGAAGAAAATTAACTCTGCCTGGGGGACTATGGAAGGTGCACAGAAGAAGTAATGATCTAAAAGATAAATATGAATTTGCTATGCAGGCATGGTGGGGGTATACAGAGGGGCACTCCAGTTGGAAGACAGGGCATATACAGAGGCCTGGATGTAAGTGAAAAATGAGAACGCATTCACTTCCAGTTTCAAGATGGCAGGCAAAGCCCACATTGTAATCTCTTCTCCCTCTTCTCCTGCTGAATCATAAAATGATGAAATAAAGAAAGGGAGGGATGAGAGAGAGAGGAAGAGAGGGAAGGAGGGCAATGTGCATATATAGCAACACAAAAATCAGAGGAGACTCTCATCAGCCCAGAAACTAGCAGTGCCTGAGAGGCTGAAAGCAGACAGCACAAGACCAGAGGGGCAGGCTGAAGCTCACTGTACAGGTGGGACATCAAGCTCTGTACTGTGGCAACATCAAGGAGGGAGCTATGGGGAGGTGGGCAAAGCGGGGGAAAGGGGACATCTGTAATAATAACAGTAAAGAAAGAAAAGAATGCTCACTGCTCAAAGATTGGGCGGTTGGGGGGAATGAGGGCGGGGGAGGAGGCCCAAGGGTGACCCAGTGGAGATTGGCTGGAGTATCCCAGGGAAAGCAGCCCGGCCTGAGAGTCCCGTGAGTGCTCCCAGTCCACCCCCGTCCCAGAGAGCAGATGTGCAGAGGAGGAGGAAGGTGCCAACCCAACAGGGAATCCAAACTGCAAAACTAGGCAAATTAAGAATTATCAAATGTTTGAGAAACATCCATACCATGAAATAAAATCTCATCAAATGGAAAGACTTGTAAAACACAGCTCCTCAAAACCACGCTTAATACAGCAATTAAAACAGAATCTTAAAGTAAGTATAATTAGTTGAGAGCAGTTTTTTAAAATAAGTATTTACATCCTAAAAACAGAAATAAGAAAATGAAAGAGAACCAATTAGAAATCTTGGATATGAAAAGCTGTTGAAATAAAAATAAAATTTAATAAAGCAAAGTAGCAGAATAGACCAAGAACTAATTTGTGAGCTGGGGGGAAAAAAACACCAAGAAATTCTCCCATAATGCAACAGGGGAAATAAAGGATTAGGAAAGAGAGAAAAAGAGAGAGACAGAGAGAGAGAGAGAAAGAAATGGAGGAAAGATCCAGAAATTTCAACATTAGTAAGAGTCTCAAAAAAAAGAGACTAGAGAAAATGAAGGGAAGATGGTATCTGAAGATGTCAGAAAGTTGAGACTTTCCCAGATCTAAAGAGAGACATTAAGTTCTTCCAGTAGTTCAGTATGATGGGCATGTGGCATAGAGGATATACACCTATTTTGTATTTTAGGTAATACTTTACAATAGAAAATTACTGAAATGAGATAAAAATATTGGATTGGAATAAGGGTATCAATGAGAACCCATGATTTTATATATGTACACACACACACACACACACACACACACACACACACACACACACACAGGTTCAGGCAGAAGTAAGTCCTGCCCGAGTGTGGTTAGTAGGGTAATAACATGGGTGTAATAAATTATAGTTTTAATTTGAACATTTTACCTAAAATGTCATATGGTGTGCTTGAGTGTGATGTTGTTATGTTACAGAATCACGTTTATGATTTTGTAATAAAAGATTTTGTCATTAAAAATGGGTGCTATTTGTGCTGGGCCATGTATACATGCACGCGCGCTACTTTACTCATTATAGGGAATCGGGGCTCCTTGAAGAAAGGACTGATTCTGGGGCTGAGGCAGGCAAAGCCTAAGGTGAGCCTGTGATATCTTGTGTCAGAAAATAAGGAAGAACTCAAAAATTAATTGGAGCTAGCTTGAAGAGACTCCCTCTAGGAAAATTTGGGGTAATTTGGCATCAGAAAGAATAATGAGAAGAACAGATTATAAGATACTGAATATAAAGAGCAAACCCATGAGTCATAATAATTCTAAAAGAACAATGGAGAAGAAGGAAGGGAAAGCTCTATTTAAATAAGAATACCAACTAGAAAGTATAGAAGGAATGATTTAAAAAATTGCTTTTGCAAAAAAAAATCACTATTTTGCAAAAAAACAAAACAAAACATCACTATTTTGCAACCAGAGTTATCAGACCTGAAGGAATTGTGCAAAATAATGGGCTTGGATTCTTTAAAAATATCAATGCCATGAAAGATACCACCTTCTCTCCCCACCCCCTCCACTAAAGGTTGGGGAACTATTCTGGATTTAAAGAGTCTAGTGACACATGACAGCTAAATCCAATGGGTAGTCCTTTATTTCATCCTGGATTTAAAAACAAAACAGCTTTGGAACAATTGGGAAAATGTGACTATTTTAAGCAACAGTATAATAGGGGTGATGGTTGCATTCCAGTTAGTAGAAGGTAGCTTTATTCTCAGATGATACAGGCCTAAATAATTAGAATTGAAGAAATCCCATAATGTTTACAATTACTCTCAAGTAGTTCAGAGGAGAAAAGTGTGTGTGTGTGTGTGTGTGTGTGTAATTTCTGGGGTTCATTTTTATCAATTTTCTTAGGTTTAAAATTTTGCAAATAAAAGCTAGGGAAAAAGAAAGGAGTTTCTGAATAATTTGAAGCACTGGATGTCACGATCGACTTGTATTCTAGGATGATTATTCTATGAGGATGTATTTCAGGAAGAGGCAGGGTAGGAATTGGAGACTAGAGATCAACTTATCAGGCAGCTTAAAAAGCTCAAGCTTCAGGCTCTTTTCTTGTGGGTCCTTCCTGAAAGTCCTGGGAGGAACATGAGCATTAGATTCTTTCACATGGTCATATACTTTTGAAAGTTTTCAAAATAAGATATTTTAACCACATTTAGTTAAGACTGCTGTCTCTTTCCAATCCAGCCCATTTCACCTTGCATCAGGCAGCTCTAGAGTAACCAGAGGCATCTGGGAGATCATGCTAGAGGAATTTAAATTTAGGTTTAGCGATATATTATTTGTAGTTTGTAGTCACTTCCTTGCACAGCTGCGTGTCCCAGTATATGAATGGCCTTCAGGAAGGCTTTTGCCACCTTCCTGGGCTGACTTATTTGGTGTCATGATACAGAGCTGCCAAACTGAAAGATGAGCACAACACAAATTACAGTGCCAGAACCAGTGTAGAAAGTGAAGAAATACGCTGGGAAAAAAACCTGACATCATTTTCTTCTTTCTATAAAAATATATTACAAAGTGGTCATCATATGAAGAGGTGATCAAAGACTATGCAGCCCCCAAAATATAAAAAAAGTTAAAGAAGTGTCAAGGTGTTAAGTAACAGAAATATTTTTTAACAACTTGTGGTATTTGACAGCTTGTTTAGATTTGTAATGTTGCAGTTTCTTTTCTTTCAATATAAATATTCACTTTTATACACATACATATCTGTGATTTTGTAGGGGTTTTTTTCCCTAACAAATAACCTCTAAAACTGTAAGTTTCAGGTCTTACAAAATTCTGGAATTGCCCTTTAGGAGATCAAAAAGAAGGCCACAATGACAGATAACTAAATGACTACAATCTGAATTCCAATGAGGATTAAGAAAAAAAAAATGAGTTGGAGATTTATTTAAAATGTAAAATCTAAAGAGTTTCTTAGTCAACTGGATATTGGGAATGAGAAAAATCTGGGTTGGATGATTTTAGTTTGGGTGAATGGATAGGTTCATTATTCACGAAGGCAGGGAATTCAGTAGAGAGAAGAAGATGTCTGTGGAGCTTTGGGTGATAACAGAGACTGGAGCCAGACAAACAGATTGGGTAATCATCAGTGTCTATACAAGGATAAGGCAAGACATGAGCAGGTTCACGGTCAAACAGCAAGAAGAGATGAAGTCAAAGGATGGAACTCCGGGCAACAACTACAGGATGTGCTGGTGTGTATGTATGGGGAGGTGGTTGGGGAACAAGTAAAGAAGGCAGAATCAGAACAATTAGGAAAGAACAAATAGCTACATTAACAGGAGGAAAAGGTGTGATAGAATAATGTCAAAGAGAGAATTACTGAAATGTATTAAATTTGGCAATAAGCATATAACCTGGCAATCCTGACGAGGACAAACACAGAGTAATCATAAAAGTCAAAATCAGACTGTAGTTGACTGAAGAATGATTGGGAAGTCAGGAAGTGAACTCAGGAAGTATGGATGATGCTTCCAAGATTCATGGCCAGCAATGAAAATAAAGGTAGGGAAATAGAGGAGATATGGGGTCAAGGAAGGGTCAAACCTACTTTATTTGTATTCCCTAACGTTAAACATGTGTCTGCCCTATGACCCAGTGACCCTACTCCTAGATAAAATCCTAAGCATCAACCAAAGGAGCATGGATAAATAAATTACAGCATGTTTATACAATGGAATGATATGCAGCAATAAAAAGAAAAATGATAGATAAGCACAACATAGACGAATCTCAAAAGTATTATGCTAACTGAAATTAGTCAGACACTATACATCACATATTGTATAATTCTATTTGTATCAAGTTCAAGAATAGGTAAAACTAATCTCTGTTTTTAGAAGTCAGAATACCGGTCCCCTCTGGGAGGGGGGTTATTAACTGGGAAGAGGCAGGAGAGAGGCTAAGTACCACAGATGTTTCTATACCTCAATCAGCGAGACGGTTGCATAAATAAAAATGGATCAAGCTGCATCCAAAGATTAGTGAACTTTATGTCCTTTACTTTGCTATACCACAATAAAAATAAAAGAATAAAGCTAAAAATTTAAAGTCAGCAGCTTTATTGAGAAAATACCACTAGGGAAAGAACAATAAAATATCACCAAATCAGTGTGAATTCTGAGCTGGCCCTGAAATAACTGACCCATCATAAACACAGCAGAGATTTTCCGTCCTTTCCTTTGATATCTCATTATCATGTCCAAAGATGAGACAACAGCTGGCACTTGAACCCACAGTCACTTTGGGTTTTTTATTAAAAACTGCATTAATCATTAATAAACTTAGCTCTATTAATAATTAATACAGTACCTGCACTTTCATTATAAAAAAGGAATATTAAATACTTACCATTTTGTCTGGTACCAACAGCAGCAATGATTACTGGAACTGAATTTAATGCTCTTTTAATCACTGGAATATAATTATCCTTCACTTCGTGGAATGAAAACTTGTCATTTACGTTGTATTTGATCACAATGATGTCCGCGCCTCCAATTAGATTTCGAGAGGTGTACCAATCACTGTCAAAAATGTCCTAAACCAAAATGCAAAGAGTTATCTTTATTTTCAAATCAATCATGAAATAAACTGTAACATAGTAGTTTAATTTTCTTGCTATATTTTAACTTTTGGAATTCATAAAAAAATTTTATTTTACAAAATAACTACATACTTTTAAAAATGTTTGAAGTCTACCAATTCCTCTTTAAAAAAAAAAAGTTTTATTTATTCTTTTAGCCTAGACATCTAGGTAGGGGTAGATGATCTAGAGAATTCCTGAGAGTCTAATGAAATAAGAAACTTCTTTCAGTAATTGTATTTAAAAATAAGCACTGTTGAAAAATTATGCCTTATTTTTATCAACTGATAATTTAAAAAACATAACGCTATACATTAGATACAAAAGCATTGTATGAGTAAGGAAGCTTCTAAGGATTTTCTGTGACCCAGTTAGACACTGAAGGATGTTCAGGGTTTTGAATTGTAATACAGTGTAAATTCTTTGGAGTTCCATATATTTTATCCATATTTTAAAAATTCATTTATATTTTTAAACTTCATGCATCCTTTGGACAGCACTGCATACATAAAGTATGTACACGCATGTGCATGGTGGCAGGGGACACCTCCATAAAAAGAAACTGTATTATAAGGTGCTAACATGGTAAGGAATATACTTAGATGTATTTTGCTCATATAAATTAAAAATTTAGGATAAATCCTTCTAGTTTTGAAATCTTTACTTTCGGACTACAGTTATATTTAGAACTTGGGCCAAACGTAATTCATTGTGGACTCGAGTCCTTAAAATTTAGTTCTTTACTATTTTAAAAATAATTTTTCAAACTTTTTGTGTAAATAGAGGTATAAAGAAAATATCTTTACGTCTTAATACCACTACTAAATATGCCTAAGTTGTTTTCTCCTCGTATTCTAGTTAACTATTAATTATTATTTGTCCTTTCATGTGGCCTTTAGTATATATTTCTAGAACGTAATAAAGCTAGATTAGGAAAACAGACAGCTATGCAGGCAAGTCTGGTCCAATGTCTGGATTTGTGTGTGTGGGTGAATAAAGATTTATTGGAACACACAAAGAAAGAAAACAGATAGCTTGATGAGGCTAAGTGGTCCAAAAACTGTTGGACTATGAAAGTTTTCACTTTGAAATATGAGTCAAAAACAGAATTAATAGGGTTTGAATAAATCAGTCAAGATCTATGTCTGTGTCAGAGCTTTTATCCTATGATGGAAAATTCTGGAGAAGTGTTAACACAGCAATGCCCTTTGGCAGGAAGCTGCTTCTCACCAATACCTCCCCAGCCCTGGCAAAGCCTGTGTCAATTCCCTTCACCTTCCCAACCCATCCATTTCCTACAAGTACACTCAGAATAACAAGGATTACACCATTTTTAGCTATGCATACCCTAGTGAAAGTAGGATGGATACAGCATTTTTAAAGGAAGATTAAAAACAAAAACAAAAAAAAACCCCAAAAGTAAACTATAGGAAAATACAGTGTAAGTCTTGCACTTAGTAAAGGGTATAAGAGTGGGGAGAAGTGAAGTGGGACACAGATTGAGAAAATGTGAAAGCTTCCCAGCAGAGCTCTGTGCTAATTTCCAAATCCCAAACCACAAAACCCATTCAGTTCCAACTGTATCTGTTATAGTATGCGAGCTCAAAGTGTGCAAGGGTGACAAGGAAGAAGGACATCATAAGAACAGTATACAAAAACTAAACAGAAGCAGATCAATATTAAGTGGCCATTTAACTCTGAGAGAACAAATCAAAAGTAACTTGCTCTCTGCATTCCAAATAGTTCAAAATTCTAGTTATTGGAGAGGTGTATGGGGGCGACGAGTGGGGGGAGAAACATTTAAGAGAAAATGTCATAAAAATGGGTTTTGGCATCATTAACACTATGGTACTGAGACTATAAAGACATATAAATAATTTTCTTTGTCTTTTATTTTAAATATAAATCAATGTTTCAAACCTTGCATAAGAAAGCCATGCATTATCTCATTGCTTCTTGTGGAATTATTTTTGGTAAAAGGAAAAAAATGTAGAAATAAAATGATAACTGCAACAAAAGGGGTGGGTGGGTTTGAGAGAGACATACTAAAAAATGAACTACATAAAATAAATTTGAAGCACATTTATTTTTAAAATGCCAAGTATATGTGGCAAGGATCCAGAGTAAGGCTACAGAGCTACAGAAGAAAACTAGAAAAAAGAAACACAGCTATCTCATTCCAGGTTCAAGGAAACAACACATTTCTCCTCAAACTACGTCAAAGAAAAAAATGCTCCACTGGTTTCTAGAAATATGAAGGAAATAAAATTTTCTCACCCCTTATAAATCGGTTCCAGGACTTCCTTTATGGGGTTATGCAACACAAGGCTTGGAGCCACATTTGGAGAATAAAACTCATCTTTTTAAAACTAATCTGAATTTTTACAGCAAAACAAGAATTTTATTCCACTTTATTGTGGGGCTGCAAATACAATACTTACTAAGTACTAACATTTCTGCTTTAATGTACTATATTTGTTTAAATCTTAAATGATGTGTGATAAAACTACTGTACTTTGGCTTAGCATTAGTGATACATGGCTGTACCAGTTGTAATAAATACTCTATTATTGTAGTAGCTACCACTTATTGAGTATCTACTACATGCCAGCTTCTATACTAAAATCTTTACATGTACTCTCTCATTTACTCTTTGGCATAGTTTTAGGAGGTAGGGATTATTATATTTACTTTATACATAGGAAAAGTAAGGCAGAGAGAGGACAAGTGACTTAGCAAGGAACACAGCCACTAAGTAGCAATGTGAGGATCTGAAATCAGGTCCTTTTGATATCAAAACCTGTGCTCTATCTGCTCTGCTATATTTAATTTTCTGATTCAGTACATGTCAAATATCAGCTGATGAGTACAATGAGTACAATCAACTTTAATATCTCTGATATGCTTTTATTAAATACCAAGAGAAGAAAATCACCCTATAAAGAGTAATTCTACAAATGTATTCTACTAAGTCCGTAAACCATAATAGCCTAGAAACTTATACCTGCTTACAAACTCAATGCCTTAAGTAGGGCCAAAGTCTAACCAAACAAAGGTGATTAGCATGATAAAACGTAACAATCAGTAAATGGCAAAAATCCAGACTACTGGGTCTTATTTTAATCCATTTGGAAGATTTCATTTACCACAATTCCTGGGATTACAAGTTTTGCTGTTTGTTAAATTAACAACATAAACAGAAAGACTTAACATCTCAAAGAAAAAACTTTATGTTCCCTACATTTATTTCCTCCATTCAGTCAACATTTGCTCAACTTTGTGTAGAACCAATAAGTTTGTAGACTGTAAGGTCTTTCTTTCACAGTGAAATGACCAAGTTAAAAGAAGTGTTTCGGTTGCTCGCATGGACTCCAGTCAATAAATTCCCTATCAATGCTTCTTATGATCAGTATCATTGCTGTCATAACCAGGAGTTTACTAGCATCACTGTCATTGAAAAAGCCTGTTTTTTTTTTCATTTATTTTAGCCTATTAATATAAATTTCCCTTTAACCATAAATTTACTTGGGCAAGTGATCCTTTCCTTCCATAATATGGAAACTTGCATAAGAAAATTTTATAGGTAAATTCTATATATTTCTTTAGAAAAGTATATTAGTTCCCTACAGTCCCTAATTCAATTTTTTAAAATTGCTGTTTAAATGTAAAAATCTCATAATGATAATTTGTATTTTCTTTTTCCCACACTAAACTGTCTTCTGTTACAAAATGTAGTATTTAGTAGCAATATAACTCAAATACCAGTAAAGAATCAGACACTTTCAAATAAGATGAAATGAAAACATTAAAGAATATGATGTTATTGTGTAGTGAAAACATTTATATCTGTTAGGGAGTAGATTTCCTTCTCCTTTTATCAAACACTCAAGAATTATATTAGAATTTATCAACTTCATTACAATTCCTGTCAATTATTGCAAAATTTAAAGCTTTTTAAAATTCCAAGTGGTATTAGTAATATCATTTGATTTATGAATCACTAAAAACGAATGCCTAATATATCAAGAGGATCTACAATTAAAAACACTAATTAAAAATTTCAAAGGTAGATAGTTATGTAAATGAGTGTTTTAAAATAAATTCTCAGTGCCTCTCTTTCCTTCTCCCTTCCAGGGTCCTATTTCTAAACTGCCCCAGTGAAATGTATTTTTGCCTGTGTTGAGTTTTCAGAGGGCTTTATTTTTAGAACACTAGGTATTACGCTATCACTGACATGGTAGGCATAAAAAAACATTGCTCTCTGCTGGTGAAATTTAGTAACCCCGACCCCTGTGGATGGCACATTCAACTGTCAGCGTCTACTAAGGGACAAGACACAGACATAAAGTGTGACTGCTCTACTCTCCCACTGGGGTTTTTTGCCTTCTAAGCGTGCTCCTAAGGCTGCTCCCTGCCCGACGAAACAAAGGACCAAATATTTTCCCAAAAGTGTTGGAAAACTCCACCTGGGGGACCCGGACACTTCACTTTCACGAGAGAGGGCAAAGGGGGAGGAGGGGAGAAAAAAATGAAAGAAAAGCTGCGTCAGTCTCATCCCAGAGCAGCTGCCGCGCCTTACCCAGACGGGGCAGTCGTGGACCACCAGCTTGACATTTCCAAACGCGCTGGCCTGATACTCGGTGAACACAGGACGCGCGACGGTGCTGGTCGCGTTCAGCAACAAGGTGCTTTCGTCCCCAGAGACCAGCGGGCTTCTCCCCAGGTACGTGCGGATGAGCCCCGACGGCCGGCTGTCCTGGTGAAAGGAGTCCCCCTCGTTCCCCAACGCCACGATGTGAATGGACCTACAGGACCCAGAGGGGAAGCGGGGCGGGGGGGGGGGGGAGAAGCGCGTGGTCAGCGCGAGCAGCCCTTCAGGCAGAACAGGAAGTGTTGGGGGCAGCGCGCGGCGAGGGTGGGCTCGAGCCCCTCGCCCTGGGGCGCAGCAAAAGCGCTGAGGTAGAGACAATAGCAGGACCGCGACGCGTACGTACATGATCTCGAATCCAAGGGCAAGGCGGCGACTCCGAGAAACGCGGCTTCCCACGGCCTCTCCGGCCGGTCCGCGGCGTATTTACCCGCAATCAAATCATCCCCCGCCGCGACCCCCTCGAGTGCCTCCACCGCGGCGCGGCGGACGCAGAGCGGGCCCCCGCCAGGCAGCGAGCAAGGGGCCCGGGGCGTGCGCGTCCGGTGGAGAGCGCGGGGCCAGCCAGTCAGGAAGTGCCCGGGAACATCCCGGGCGGCCGCCCGCTCCCCGCCTCCCTGCCGCCGCCGCCGCCGCCGCCGCCGCCGCGAGTCGCTGGGCGCCCGGACTGTGCAGCCCCTTTCCGCCGCACTCCCGCGGCCGGTGAGTTGTCGCCTTCTGCTGCTGCTCCTCCCTCTGGCCAAACAGGGGTTAGGAGAAATGCTGGGCCTCCGCCCCTTCGGCGGGCCGGGCGGGCACAGCACGTGCCGGCCTCGGGGGTCGGGCGGACGCGGGGAAAGCGCTGCGGATGGAGGCCCAGGAGCCCGGGAGGCGGCGGATACAAAGGAGCGGCCCAGGCGGGACGCCGCGGAATATAAATGAATAAATACAACGCCCAAGCCGAAAAGCTCCTGATCGCCAATCCGCCTGCAGCAAGTTTGTTCAACTCGAAAGGCTGTAACCAGAGCCAGGGAAAGGGGGGTGGGGCGGTGAGGCCCCCGCGCCCTAAAGACTGGAAAAAAGAGGTTAGTGAAGCTAGGGATTGAAGCTCGTTGGCTTCTCCAGCAGCCCCTGTTTGGCATTGACTGAAAGTGTTTTACCACGTCGCCGCTTTGTCATTTGTCAACATGCACTACAGCTGTTTTCTAAAATCACTCTTGTGAGGGGGGCGAGAAAAAAAAAAAAAGCAACATTCATGCTGGTGCAAAAAGGGCTCTTTGTTCACACACCAATTTGCTAGTACAGCTCCAGGGGAATTATTTACAATTTCAAGCTATATTTGGCATATTTTACTAAAATCTGCGGGATTTTAAGTGCTGGGGTTCTTACTGCGATGCGTGAGGTGTTCAACGCGTTTACAAGCTGAATGCTAGTTTACTTTGAGATTAAAAAAAAATACACATTATCGCTACGTATTTCAAAATAGCCCCTCCGACCAACTGCAGAAATAATGTACGTGCTAATGCAAAGGTACTTGAGATTCCATCATGATGATGCACTGAAGTAAAGGTTATGAATGTCTCTAAAGGGCCTCAAACTACCTCAGTGCAAATGAACACTGGAATCCATTAATATCGAAAAGGGCCAGAGGTTACTCTGGGCTCAGCTTCTCCATAAACAGGAGAATTCATACAGGTTCCTGGTGAAAAGACTTCTTGTTTATCCCTTTATTCATTTATTTTCCCCAACTTTAAAATTTTGCTGCTGCTTTTCTCAACAGAGCTATTTTGAGGGTATGAAACAGGAGGTACTGAGTAGGGCAGTGAAAGATTGGGTAGGAGAGGCCTTTGGAATGCGAACAGCTTTTTATTACGGGTCCTTTTTGCTCAGATGAAAATTGTGTAATAGTTTTTTATGTTCCAAAAGAGTATGATAGGAGGCATTCTTTTTGTAGTCACTGATTTTTTTTTTTTAAATATACTTTCCCTTTGCACTCAATATAATTTGTCTTTTAGTCTCCAGAACCTAAGCCATCCTGAAATATTTGAGTACAGGATTACCTTTTCTCTTGAGTCAGTAGAAAAAATATCTTCTCATTGTCCTCTCCAGTGACCACAGGTCAACATCAGAGACACATAATGGATGAATGGATAGATAAAATGTGATGTATACATACAATGAAATATTATTCAGCCTCAAAAAAAAGAAAAGAGAGAAGGAAATCCTATCATGTGTTACAACATGAATGGATATATAAATCGTTTTACTAAGTGAAATTAGCCAGTCACAAAAACCCAAATACTGCATTTTACCGCTTATATGAGGTAGCTAAGCTAGTCAAACTCTTAGAAACAGAAAGTAGAATGATGGTTACCAAGGGCTGGAGAGAGGGGGAAATGGGGTTGTTCAATGAGTATTGTTTCAGTTTTGCAAGATGAAACAAATTCTAGAGATCTGTTACAAACAAGGGGCATGTAGTTAACATTACTGTACAGTTAAAAGTGGTGAAGGTGGTAAATTTTGTGTTATGTGTTCTATCACAACACCGGGGTGGGGGGGTAGGGACGGGTGGCGGTGGGGTGGGGAGAGACTGTGGAGGGGCAGAAAGGGAGGCAGGATGCATTTTCCCTTCAGTTGTTGAGTATGTAAGACAGACCTGTGCTGAGTAGACGTGGGAGATACTAAGATACATAAGACGCAGTCCTAACCACTGAGACTAAGTCTACACCAATGGTCACTATATTGTAAACATTAATGCATCTGATCCTTTTGAAAACATACTAGTTCCTTAAATAATTATAATACAGGCTAATGATCTAGTAATAGAGGTAGGTACAAACTACTCAATAAAGTCCAGTGAACATTAAGTAGAGATTTGTGCCTTCTGTCTCATTAGAGAGAAGTTCATAGAGAAATTAAGCATCATCTTAGGTATTATTAGATGAAGAGGTGGTCGGAAGGCAAGTAGTACTGGAAAGAATGGACGGACACCATAGGCAAATCACATGCAAAGGTATACAGACATGGGAGATCATGGCTTGTTCTGGGAACAAGAGCTGAAATTAGTGCAGGCAAGCGGAGTCCTTTATTACAGCAGGTTGAAAAGAGAGCAGTAGGGACTTCTCAAGAAGTTTTCAAAGGCAGACCTGGTTATATTCATGTTATACATTGGAAATCCCTAGACCAAGCTCTGTATATGTGACAAAGCCTGCCTAGATGCTGACCAAAACTCATTTCTCTTCCAGGACCCATAGCTAAACCATATGTACCAAAGTTTTTGCATGTAGGTAGGGCCATATGATTAGTCCTTATCAGAGGAATAGAATGCCCGCAGTTCAGAGAAGGCATGCCTTCTCTGCTCTCTTTTATCTTTCCATCTACCAACTAGATGAAACCAGATCAACCCTGACACCACATGCTTGAATTTGTTGGTCCACACTGTGGAAGAAGCTTGGGCCTCTAAATGAGTAGGAACAGCATAGTTTCCTCATAGCATGCATTGTACTGTGAGGTGAATGAGAAAACAGACCTTTACTGAGTTAAGAGAGACATTTTGGGATCAGTTATTACAGCGGTTAGTGGTACTTATCTTGTTAATACAATATCACAGGCAGTCCATTTCCTGATATCTTAATGATTTTTTCATAATTACCTGAAGACATTTTTATAATTATTTCCTTTTTATTTACAATTTCTATTTGCTTTATACATTTGTAGTTTCCTTCATTAGCAGCATTTTATTTTAACCAGGCTGTAACAAATTGGATTATCATATGTTCTCCAACCATAGTGTCACTGGGGAACACACCAGGAAGGGTCTCCAGTCCAAACAACATGTTTTCCTATTTTCTTGGCTCAAAGGCCATTATTTTATATTCATTTTGAATGTTCGTATCCTCAGATAAAATGTAGCCACTTGCAAGTGTAAGGTACATGGGCAGTAACTCAGTGAGCTATTATTGGTCCCCCTTTTGTGAATATTAATATGGCAGCCTTTATAAAATATGTTGATTCCTTAATAACTAAAGAGGAAGCAAGTGTTAGTAAGGGGAGCTGGGCCTGGCATAAGATTTTTTTCAACTGTGTTTCAAGGAAACTAGGTTTCCACAGAGAATCTTGAAGTCCATCTGAAGAGATGGTGGAGAAAAATACCTAGCGAGGTCTGAGCCCCTACTCCTCCCATCTCAAAGTCAATCAGAGCAGTCTATTGTCATTTATTATTTTTTTAAACATTAGAATTTCATGTTCACTTTCATTAAAAGGGGACTTTCTTACATTATTTTAAGACTACTCATCTAGAGCAAGCATCTCCAAACTGGGGTGCAGGAAATGACCCCTGAAATTCCAGAATTAGGTATTTGAACTTCTATTTAAAAGCATATGTGTTTTTTTTTTTAACCAAAAAGAAGGGAAGAAAGTAAGCTTTACTAATGTTTATTATGAGGACTGGCACTGGCACCCCTGCTTGGTCAGTAGGAAGGCAAGCGCCTGGTGTCCTTGGGAGTGTGTGGGAGCACAGTGCAGGGTTGGGGAGGAGAGGGCTCTCTCCTTTGTTCACTTTGAAGATATTGCCACATGTTGCAGTTTCTGCGTCTAAGTGGATTTATGGATGCTATTTAAGTAAACTAACTGTTATAGCATGGAACAGTGGAGATAGTGTTAATAATGCAATGATAGGCAAACACAGTTGGCTAAGCTGATATTTCCGACACCCTTTGGGAGCCACATTGGAAGGTGAAAAACTAATGACTAATCAGTTCTGACAGTAAGTTGGCCATAATAATTAAAATGATAAAGAACACTGGTTTAAGTATGAATTTACATCTACTTTTGCTAACATCAACTTCACTCTAAGTGAAGTTAATAGATAACAGTATTCTAAACTGATCACAATTAGCTAGCTATTTAAAAACTAGACATCCAAACATGAAGATAAAACTCAACAATATTTCCAGGATATTAAATTAAAGTACTATTCAAGCTGATACTTTAAAGAAAACTCTCCAATTATTTAAAAAAAGAAAAAAACTTCCTCTAAACTTTCTTTTAAAAATGAAAGTCAAAAAGCAACATACAATTGAAAATATTGTTTTCTGCTTGCCAAGATAAAAATGGCTGAAATATACATGGAACACAAATAGGAAAAAACAACAGCATTCTTTTGCCAGTGAATACCTTTTAGAATATGGATATAAAATATTGCTCAAGATCCAAAGACACAAGTATTGGAATAAGATACACAGTGTAGGAAGTTTATGATAAAGTTAAACTGAAAGCACAGATGTTTTCAATATGTCTCATGCTATTGTATTTAATAGATTCTGTTTCAGTGTGGTTTCTACTAGATTGTGTTTCAATATATTGTAGTAAAATATATTTTAAAATGGCACTTTTGGTGAGCCATTAAAGGAAAGCTATAGTATTCTTTCTCTATTACATCTTTTAATGACATTTTAAATAATAATTGACTTCTAAAAAATAAAAACTGATGTATGCAAAATTTATGTAGGTGTAACCACTGATGGATTAGTTGTTTAGACTAAAAAAAAAATTTTTTTTTTTTTTTGCATAAAGGAAGAAGTCTAAGCTAAGGTTACAGTGAGAGCAACGACATTAAATTCACAGTATATTTCATAGGCAGTTATTCCAGCAAAGGAGCTGAAGCCAGGACACACACAATATAGGATGTTATCAGTGTAACTAATTTTGTGAAAATGAGATTTCTAAGGCAGGGCTTTTTAAAAATAAATTTCTTTTTTTGTGAAATATCACACACATAAAGAAAAGTGCTTAATACCTATGTATGTAAGTTAATGTAATTATAAAATAAACATTTCTAAACTCTGAGGTCAGAAAAATAGAGCGTTATCAGCACCCATGCAAGGATGTGCACCCCCCACCCCATTGCCCTTCCTCAGTCACAGTCCTCTTCTTTTCTCAGAGATAATCATGAGCCTGACTTTTTTTGATGATTATTTATTTTTTATAGTTTTACTACCTATATGTGCATTCCTAAACTAATATTTTGGTTGTTCTTCTCTTTGAATTTTATATAAAAGGCATAACAATGTATACTCTTTTGCAT